CTAACAGTGCACTCACCTCAGCAGAAAGAGTCGCCTTCTCACTAACTGCTGCACTCCCTCCTTTCCCCTCCTCAGTTTCCACCTCCTCAAGGAATACCGCGAAGATCCGTGCCGCACGCTTCACCAGCTGCCGCACACGAACAGCATTGATGGTAGTTGTGGAGGATGTGGCCCCATCACTCCACTGTGGCAGCTCCCGGAACTCGCCATCTACCTTAACGTTGCAGCTTCCCTGAGCCCAATCGAACTGAGTACTAACCGTCCGTAACCAATCCCTACCGAAGATGAATTCGTATCCGTCCAGCGTCGTAGAGTCGAAATCATGCCTAACTGTGATCGGTCCTAGCACTACGCGCAACTTGCAATGGATCGGTCCTATGTGGAGAGGCGTCCCATCTACCATGCAAGTATCCTTGAAGTTGACTACGGAATATGCTTCGAGATGGAGGCGGCTAACTAACGATGAAGACACGAACGAGTGGCTAGCTCCGCTATCTATGAGAATCTTGACTGGTACTCCGCGAAGCTTCCCTAAAAGCACGACTAGACGATCAACAGTGTCTACCGAGTTCTCCGTAGATGACTGCTGCGAGGCCGTCTCCTCTACGTTGGTAGACGTGGCGGGTACGGGAGCCTCCACACCAGCTAGCGACCCGCTATCTACTGGCGGTTTCCGTTTCCCTGCTGCCGCTCCTTAAGCTGTGGGCAGTCCCGCTTCATGTGTCCCGGCTTTTTGCAGTAGTGACAGTTCCCCCTAAATCCCGTTTTCTGTGAGCCGTCACTGTTAACTACACGAATCTCCATGGGCGATGGTCCGTCCCTCGATCGAGCGTCGTTGATCGGTCTGTTGTATCCCCTATCGCGATCGTCACGACCCCATCGGCTTCGTACTGCGTCGACGCGTTCTGCTGCTGCAACAACTGACTTGAAGGTGGACAACACATGAATCGCTATAACTTCTGCTATGTCCGGCTTCAACCCCTAGAGGTAGCGATCGCGCATCTCTGCTTCCGTGATGTCATCTATTTCGTTGCAGATGCTCAAGAACCGTCGTGTGTACTCCTAGACGTTTCCTATCTGTCGGAAATGACGCAGACGCTTCCTAGTAGCTTCGGAGGCGTTCACCAAATCGAACCTACTTTTCAGCGCCGCTTCAAATCCTTCCCATGTGGTCGGAACCGTGGTAACACCCAAAGCTAAACTCCCTAAGCTCGAAGTTGCAGCTACATGCCCCACGCCCTGTTGATGCCCGTCTGTCTGAGCCCTTCTTACAGCAGTTTGCGTGAGTTGGCGCCACCACTCCAAGGCCGGGCCCCTCAGCAGCGTAACAGCGTACTCGATCCGCTGCTGCGCGTCCGCCTCTTGCACCCCGCTCGCGGCGAAGTAGTTGTTCAGCAGCGAAGTAATTTCCCCCGCAGCGGACTTTGACTCTCACTACCTTTTCCCGTATGGCCAGTGGCGTGCCGTCGACTAAGCGTGCGTCTATCTCCGTTAAGCAACGGCTAAGTGTCAGCTGCAGTTTTCGTGCGGTTGCGGTATTAACTAAACTGTGGCTTGCTCCTCCGTCGATAAAAATCTTCACTGCTGCTCCCTGTATTTTCCCGTGGATCAGTACTGGGCAATCCGTCGCTGTACCCTCCTTATTCGTCCGAGTCCGATCGATAGCATGAATCGGTACTGTGACTCGGTGAGGGTCGGTGGGGTTGGGCGAGCAGGCAGTCTCGTCAGTAGTTGGCCCGATTCCTACTGACTGCTAGCGTTTCCCTGCTTTGGATAGTCCCTCCCCTGCTCTGCTCCGCGGCGCCTTAGCTCCTCTGGGCATTCGCTCTTGCGATGGCCCGGCCTGTTGCAAGCAAAGCAGCGCCCCTTAAACGGCGCGGCAGCTGCATTCGTCGCAACAGCTGTGAGAGGACGAGGAATAAATGGAAGGAAGTGGTTTCACTAGCAAGCAGTTGAGTACATATAGCAAACCCTAAATTGAGTTGTACTCACTATTGAGTACCCCAATGCAGGCTAGACAAACATAACATTCTGACAACAGCGTGTACAATGGCGTGCTCGATCGGTCCCCAACAACGATGTCCACAGTAGGACCCCGGTCTCGGACGGCGTAAGATGTCGATTTTCTCGGCGAGCGCGAGAATCTCGTTGAAGTTCGAGAGCCCGCGTAGCATGATTTCGTGCGAGATGTCCGGCTTCAGCCCTCCGACGTAACGGTCCACCCGCTCCGCTTCGTGCATGTAGCCGACTTGCTCGCATAATGCGAGAAAACCACTCGTATATTCTTGAACCGATCCAAGCTGCCGCCAAGTGCGCAATCTCTGACGCGCCGAAATAGAAGCCGCGATCGGCTCGAAGCGCGCCCGAAGCCCTGCGCACCACACATCCCACGTGCTGTATTGGGCGGTCTCGCAGAATGAACTCCAGGTGACAGCTGGGCTCGTGGGCCCTTCCTCTTGCGACGGTGGCTCGTAGGCGCATGGCGACGTCACGATGACTCGCCACCAGTCCATGGCGGGGCCCCTTTGCAGCGAAACGGCATACCGAATCTTCGCTGCGTCCGACTCGACGTAATTCACGTCGAAGAAGACGTTCATCGTGAAGACCCACGATTGAATCGTCGGACCTCCACGCTGGCTCGGGTCGAAGCAGGGCGGGCGTTGCGGCTTGAGTGGCATTGGTGCCATAATGGCCTGTTCGCCACTTGTCGCCGCGAACTCCACGTGCCGACGGGCTTCGCGAGGCTCCCGCGGGCTTGGTGCGACCCTGTTTCCTCCCATGCCAGGCATCGGCTGGGCGGCGCCATCGCTGGCTGCGCCTGAGCATTGTCCCACGCTGTTGTTTTGTGTCGGTGTGCCGGACGAGATGACGATCGGCTCGTCTGATTGTGCAGATGCATTTGTCGGTGCGTGTGGTGTCGCTGGAGTGTTCATTGTTGATTGCTGACGCGCGGAGTCACGTTCCGCCGTGAGCGTCGCAATTTTGAGCGCCGAATCTTCAAGTTGGCACACCAGACGGTCGAGCTGCTCCTTCGTCAATGTGGAGAGCGTTAATTCGGCCATGGCGGGGGTGTCGGGCGAGCTCAGCAAGAGCCTCGGTCGTCGCCGTGCGTGCTTACGAGAGAGCACTACGAGCGGCGGTGCTGTGTCGTTGAGAGACGTCTACCCCCCCCCAAAAATTGAGATAGTGGGGAAGCAAAGGTGTGGGTGCGGTCCGAGAGGAGATCGTAGGCTCTGAATACCAAGAGTTACGAGTGCAATTGAGTGAACGAACGAGAATTGCACTATCGAAGCAAGAGTACAATGAGCGGAGGCATGAGCGAAGAATATATAGCGGAACTACATTGGTAACGGTAATGGACTGTGATTGTCGCGCGACGGGCCTGGGACTGAGGTTGGGAAAAGTGTCGAAGCGGAGGCCCGGAGTGCGGGTTACCCGCCGAGCCGTGAGGTCGGGGTGTGATGTGCGAAGGTGGCGGGCGGATTGTCGATGCGAGGGTTGTGAGTAGTAACGGTGCTGACTGTGGTGCTACAGTGATGTACGCGTTGAGCAGGGATGCGAAGTAAGGAAAAGGAATTTTCCTTACAGAAAGTACTCTGTGGGACTAGGAATTGTGAGGCAAAGAAAGTAGAGTGCCACGTGGCACTAGGAAATCTAGAAAGATAAGTTGAGGATGAGTTGGATCGGTTGGGAAATTACTGTTCAAAAGGAACAGTAAATCCCCCCTTAACAGCATGGTTACGCAGTACTATTCTCTGCAATTTCCTTCGCTTACAAAAATGTACGAATGACGTCACCACTGGAAGGGGGCACAATTCGGTGACAGTGCTCCCGGATGGGGCCTGCTCGAGACGGATGGTCGAAATGTTCGTTTCAAAGGGCTTGTGCTCAAAATGTCCTCGAGGGCACGGCGATGACCTGTTCCGGTAGGCTGGGCAAGCCCTGTCCCGCCAAGCCTAGGAGCCGAACCAGTCAGAGTACCACGAAAAGCTGGGTGAGATTGGTCAAAGCGGTGATCGGTTCTTTCTGACAGCCAATCGGACCGAATCAAAAGGCTTGTGCCGAAGCTAGTGCCATGGTTCTACAATGGAATCGAGCGGTGGAAGTTCGCTGACAGAGTTTTTGCTCTGGATGCGCGACGGGGAACCACAGCAACCAAAGAAAAGAGCGGGAAATGGGAGGGATTGGAGGAAGACGGATCCCCCGGCAATCCCTTCACCGAAATCTCCACTGCCCTGAGGGTCCCTTGCCTTCATCTTGCTGTTCCATATAGTTTGGGGTCTTGTTCGGTTAATCGATTGAATCATTGTCAGGATCAGAAGCTTGAAGGAGGCACTAGCACTATGGCTTCTGCGGAAACGCTTTCCTCGGACCACTCACGGGATAATGGGTCGGCAAAACCGTCTCAGGCTTCTACACAGCGTGCATCCAACCTTCGCCACGTGAAGCTCGGGTTCCACTACATGATTTCACATGGTGGACCGCTCATGCTGATTCCTTTGTTGGCTGCTGTTATTCTTCGCGTGAACCGCTTCACTGCCGAAGACTCACAAATGATCGCGGATTTTCTTAACGCAAATTTAATTACGGTCGCTGCTGGATCGACGTTGATTCTGTTTGTTACTGCGCTGTACCTCTTCACTCGCCGTAAGGATGTTCTGCTCGTGGACTTCTCTTGTTTTATGCCTCCCGAGGAGCTCGCCATTACGCAAAAGAACTGTGTCGATTTTGCCCGTGAAATGGGATGTTTTGATGAGAAGAGCCTGGATTTTCAGGCCAAGGTTGCTGAACGTTCCGGCCTTGGCGACCGTACCCATTTACCTCGTTGTCTTCGCAAGCTTCCCATTGAGCCATGCGTGTCCGAGGCTCGTCATGAAGCTCAAATGGTTATTTTCGGGTGCCTGGATGACTTGTTTGCCAAAACTGGCATCAAACCGAAAGACGTTGGCATCCTGGTGGTGAACTGCAGCGTCTTCTGCCCGACTCCGTCGCTGTCCGCCATGGTTGTGAACAAGTACGGCATGCGCAACGACATCCAGTCGTACAACCTCGGCGGTATGGGCTGCAGTGCTGGCCTTATCGCCATCAAACTTGCTCGGGATCTGCTTCAGGTAAATTATTCTTGATATGTAAAAAACCAAAGCCTCGTATATCAACCTCTGGTTACTACTCCCTGTCGCTCAACTTTCTCTTCTTTCAATCCAAGAGAATGGTAACTTGTTTTTTGCAACCCGGACATATCTCTAAACGTTATACCTGTGCTCCTTGACGTGCAGGTGATTCCCAACACATACGCGATCGTTGTGTCAACGGAGAACATCTCTCTGAACTTGTACCTCGGAAACCGTCGCTCTATGCAAGTGTCCAACTGCCTGTTCCGAGTTGGTGGAGCAGCCATGCTCCTCACCAACAAGAGCAGCGAGCGTTACCGCGCCAAATACGAGCTGAAACATGTGGTGCGTACCCATTTGGGCAAAGACGACAAGAGCTACGGCTGTGTGTTCCAGGAGGAGGACGACAACAAGATAGTCGGAGTCGCCCTTTCTCGCGACCTCATGAACGTGGCTGGCGAGGCTCTGCGCACCAACATCACGACGCTGGGTCCGCTTGTTTTGCCGCTTTCGGAGCAGCTGCTATTCGCCGCAGTTCTCATCGCGCGTAAGGTCTTTGGCATGAAGATGAAGCCCTATGTACCGGACTTCAAGCTGGCATTTGAGCATTTCTGCATCCACGCTGGTGGTCGCGCTGTCATTGACGAGATCGAGAAGAACCTGGAGTTGACACAGTACCACGTCGAGCCATCGCGTATGGCTCTGTACCGGTTCGGCAACACATCCTCATCGTCCATCTGGTACGAGCTCTCCTACTCGGAAGCACAGGGTCGTGTCCGCCGTGGTGACCGCGTCTGGCAGATCGCGTTTGGGTCCGGATTCAAGTGCCAGAGTGCGGTGTGGCAGGCTCTTAGGCCGATTGATCCCAGAAAGAACAGAGGCGTGTGGGCAGAGTATTACGAAAGTGCTCGTGGGGAGGAGAAGCATGCGGCTGCCGTAGCTGATACGTTGGCCCCAATTAGGCCCCTTAAACCGTAAGCGTCAAGGTCTCTCCCCCGGGCCATACTAGCTGTTCATCCTCCGACTGGTGGTGCATCACACCATCTAATCCGGCTCCAGTCCCCATCCGTCTCTTATGTAGAATGGCATGGTGTGTTCTTAGCTGTAGAAGGCAGAACTTGGCATCCCTGATAGGAAGACATTTTATTAGCAATTCATTTCGTGTCAATCCTATCTATTGCATATAAAAAATCGCTGCATAGGTCTGAAGTATGCATCAATCAATTCACTAATATTTTCTGGAGACCGGAATCTAGGTGCTATTTCACTACTATCAGTTTTAAGAGATGAGAAGTTAATGTTGAATGGGAACGTTTGTAAGGAATTCAGCATGTCCAGTAATGTGTTCACTCCTGAACCAGATTGAGTTTTATGCGCCTCGAGTTTGGGCACCGCCTAGATCTGAAACCAGTGGTGAGATGACAAATTCAGCGGGTCTGACGAAGGTGTCAGACCAGACCAGACCTGCCAGCCACTCTTGTCACACCCAAACCACTCTGCCAGCCACGTGAAACCTGTGGCGAGACACCTACCGAAACCGTTCCGGCCAACTTCATTGATACTCAAATTATGCCAGAAGCGGTTTGCGAAAGTAATGAACCAACAATTTTGCAGTATAGTAGCTGAAAATACGAATATCTAATGTATAAGCACAATCCTGAAGCAATGACGCCACCAGCAGCTCCGCACATACCCAACAAAAAAGGAAGCATACTAAAACGCTTGGATAACCAGGACGGAATTCGGAAATATTAACCTAAAAAACGGGAAGTGGTCTAAGTGCTTATGATTATCAGCTTGGACAAACAACACCGCCCAACGTAGCCTGCTACCCGCGGGCAATTAAAAATAACCCTTTGGCTAAAAGGCATCCAATCAGAATGGCATTAATCCTAAACATCTTGTCGCATGATGTTTAGAATTGATGTTATCCACGGGGGTTTTTATTTTCTTCCGTACGAGGCCAGCAGGTCCACGGTCGACGGAGGGTTAATGGTGCCGTCAACCCTAATCCGTTGAGTTATTCCCAGTCTGCATCATTTTTCCAAATGGGGTATTTTTAAATATTTACGCAATTCGCGCTTGATAAAAAATTAAATGGGTTCAATGTATTTTTGTCTATTCTAAGGTAGCACCTCGACACAATAGTGTATATTTGAGTTCGGTAAATGCGTTTTGTTTCTGTTACATTTGGGGGGTGTTTTTAGCGTGAAAAGTGTGATTGAAAAGCAAGCACCAATCAGCGATGAGAAATCGAGGTTGCGTACCGATGCGAAAAGTCTCTGGCATAATTTGAGTATCAATGAAGTTGGCCGAAACCGTTCTCTCCATCTCCGAAAGGGTTCGCTTCGTGTTTCGTGGTTGAGGCATGTACGAATCACTTGGTGCCACGCTACTGCCATGTCGTCGAACTGTAGCCGTTGCAATTTTCCCGTACCTATTTCCCGAGGCATCCCCCGCCAGAACAAGCCTCCTTCCCGACCACCAGGCCTCACACCAAACCAGAATCCAAAACCGTGCTCCCATAGACCTGAATGCCAGACACACGATTTTCAACAAACAATCCAAGCAAGCTCTATGGTTGCCATAAGCTACCATCCTCTCTCAAAGTTTTAGAGTTTCCAAGTTGGGTTTCAGAGCTTGGCATCTCCCGCGTAGTGCTAATGATTTAAGATCTGCTGTTGTACCAAAGCATAGGCCACTTTTTTCTTGTACCGTTTGCTCACCATGGGTTCCGAGAGCGAACATGCCGAGGCCAACGGGAAATCAGATTCAAGCAGTCGCAAGCTGAAGCTCGCGTACCATTTCATCGTGTCTAACAGTGGGCCTGTAATCCTGCTTCCTATACTGGCAGCGCTTGCCCTTCGCGTGGCTCGCATGACACCCGACGACGTGCAGACGCTTTGGGAATTTCTGCACCAGAATGCTATTCCTGTCTTCGTCGCCCTTAACATCATCCTCCTCGCCGCCGCCTTGTACTTCGCCACCAGACGCACGCGTATTCTGCTCGTCGACTACGCCTGCTTTCGGCCTTCGGAAGAGCTCGCCATGACTCGCGCCGAGGGACTCGACTTCGCTCGCCGCACTCCGACCTTCGACGACAAGAGCGTCGAGTTTCAGACCAAGGTCGTCGAGCGATCCGGTCTCGGAGATCGGACTTATCTTCCGAAATGCCTAAGGACCTTCCCGATCACCCCGAGCCTGTCGGCAGCTCGGAACGAAGCGGAGATGGTCATTTTTGGCAGTCTTGATGCGCTGTTTGAAAAGACCGGTCTTAAACCGAAGGATATCAGCATTCTGGTGGTGAACTGCAGCATTTTCTGCCCGACTCCGTCGCTGTCCGCGATGGTGGTGAACAAGTACGGCATGCGCAACGACATCCAGTCGTACAACCTCGGCGGTATGGGCTGCAGCGCGGGTCTTATTGCCATCAAGCTCGCTCAGGATTTACTCCAGGTGAGAGTTGATGAATTTCCAAATGCGTGAAATGAACAACATGAGCTGTGTAATAACATAGAGATGCGAACTTGTATAAACTCACTACCAGTGAAACTCGACAGACACCAATCAGACAGGCTAAGAGCATCACGCAAATCACCACACCTTTGCGCAACGTAGTTATTTTCGGAGGTGTTGTTCTATTCAACTAGGCTTTCTCCTACTTTTTCCCTGTTTACACTCCTTGTTCCTCAGGTGACCCCCAACACGTACGCAGTTGTCGTATCTACCGAGAACATCTCCCAGAATATCTACCTCGGCACACGCCGCTCCATGCAAGTCTCCAACTGCCTCTTCCGCCTGGGAGGAGCCGCCATGCTGCTCACCAACAAGAGCAGCGAGCGCCGCCGCGCCAAGTACGAGCTGAAGCACGTGGTGCGCACGCACATGGGCCGGGACGACAAGAGCTACGGCTGTGTGTTCCAGGAGGAGGACGATAACGGGGTGGTGGGCGTCGCTCTCTCCAAGGACCTCATGAACGTGGCTGGGGAGTCGCTCCGCACCAACATCACTACGCTGGGCCCGCTCGTCCTGCCGTTGTCCGAGCAGCTCTTATTCGCCGCGGTTCTGATCGCGCGCAAGGTCTTTGGCGTGAAGATGAAGCCCTATGTGCCGGACTTCAAGCTGGCATTTGAGCATTTCTGCATCCATGCCGGTGGACGCGCTGTTATCGACGAGCTTGAGAAGAACCTTGATCTTACCAACTACCAGACCGAGCCGTCCCGCATGGCTCTTTACAGGTTCGGCAACACATCCTCATCGTCCATCTGGTACGAGCTCTCCTACGCAGAAGCACAGGGTCGCGTCCGCCGTGGCGACCGCGTCTGGCAGATCGCGTTTGGGTCCGGATTCAAGTGCCAGAGTGCGGTGTGGCAGGCTCTTAGGAGGATCGATCCCAAGAAGAACAGAGGCGTGTGGGCAGAGTACTATGACGAAGTGGGTGGCCCGGAGATGTTTGCTGCAGCGCTCGCAGATGCTCAAGCTCCTGTCAGGCCGATTCCAGCTTCATAGACGAAAGTGATTGCAGTGAATTTCTTATACTAGCACCGTGAAGGTGATTCGAGCAATTGCTTCGCTTTGGTTGTCCTTAGTGACTTTATTATGAGTTTCAAGCTCTCCTCTTGCTTGTTCCAAGAGCACTGGAAGGGGGGGCGTGGTATGGAAGGTGACTACAATTGATTCTGTGAAGCATGAGGTGACGACTTCTGCTCTGTGCTGGTAAGGAAGCAACAACGTTCACTTGGCAATGGATCCTCTAATCACAACGACAGCAGTGTATTTACAGGGCACCTCCTTCATCCCCAGTGCAATTGCAGTACAAATAATTTCAAATCCACTTGCATACATAAGCCTCTTATTTTTGGAGCAATGCAATGGTGTCTTTCAGCTTGAGTGCATCTGCTCCACTGAACTGGCTCAACAGCTTCCCCGCCTTGTAGAAATGAAAGGTAGGCTGCAGGAGAGATGCAAGTAACAACAGGACAGAGTCAGGCGGAAGAGCAAACACCAGGAAAAAAACGGAGGCCAGAAAGTGTGAGCGGAAACGCTGCTGACTATATTATTATTCAACACAGTGGTGCACCGTGGTGCTGAGGGAAAACACTGATCAACAATTGCAAGAGAGCTCACCACACTGCTGATCCTGGCAGTTCCGACCACGCCTGCCAGTTCAGCCTGTTGGGGGAGGGGGATAAAGAAGGAATTTAGACCAGGCCACAATTTGCGCGGTCACGATGGCATGGAAATGCGTGACAGTGAGAGCACACAGAAAAGACCAAGAGAGGGTGGTGGTTGGGGAGAATGAATACCAGGATCGTAGGGAGGGTCAGAAAGGTGAGAGGGTGGGGACAGAGGCAATGCATGAGCGCACTCACATCATCAATGTCGACCTTGGCAATGGCGACAGATTCGTGGGTTCGGCTGATCTCATCCAACAGCGGCGCGATGCTTCTGCCTGCCCGGCAGAAAGGAACGGCAGCGAGGGCAGTGGAGAGATGAGTGCCTTTTCAAACCAGGCAGTCTTCCAATCAGAGCCCGAAGTCCGTATTTGTCAAAAGAAGGGCTGAGGAGGTGGGAGACTAAATGCCCTGAATTTGTGCATACTAAGCATTGTACAATTCAGTCTGTAGTGAGGTTTGTCTATGAGAATGCCTTGAAACATCTCTTATGGTGACGTGGAGTGAAGAGAACTTACATGGACCACACCATTGTGCTGTGAAGTCAACGACCACTAGTCGCGATGGGTCTGATGTGCATGCATGCACACACGCACACACGCGCGCACACACACACACACACGCACGCACACACACACACACACACACACACACACACACACACACACACACACACACACGCACGCACGCTCGCACGCACGCTCGCACGCACACACGAAAATACACACATGCACTCATGTGTGGGAGACACACTCACACACATGGAACGCACGCCCATGCACATGCACATCCTCATGCACGCATGAGTCAAGCAAGGGAGAAGGAAGAAAATTCTTGGTGCAAGGATGCTAAACTTTTGTTGAAACGTCAGAGATAACTGCTTCTATTACATGCTGATGAGCTAGCATGATTGTGGAACCAAACACACGACAGGCAGCAGGGCTCACAGCCAGACCCACCCAGTTCAGCCTCTTCTCATCATCAACCTTGCCACAAGACTCTCCACCACTAACAACCAAGGTTACCAGCAGCATACCAACGTCCATTACCATTGATTAAAGACGTGAACTCGCTGGGCGATGCGATGGTGATGACTTTAGTTTCCGTGCTGCCAGCGGCTGAAGCTGCACGGCAAGAAAGACGCCAAATCGGTGAAGAGAGGAGGAAGGAGAAGGTTGCGGGGCGGAGTAGGGGAGGGGAGCGGGGGAGGGGGATGGGAGGAGAGGAAGCAAAGCGGAGTCATGAGTGCCTGCAACGCGAACCAGTCAACGAGAAAGTTAGAAACGGACAAAAATCGCACAACGTCCCCATCACGCCAGAAATATCATGAGATCCCATGCGATCCTACGCGGTTCCAGGAGATCCCATGCGATCCTATGCGGTCCCATGGGATCCCATGCAATTATATGCAGGCTTTCTCTCCTCCAAACGCACCAAAGCTTCGGACGCTCGCGGTGAGACGCGAAGCAGCGAAGACGCCTCGCGAAGGCGCGGCTGAGACAACCGTGACGGCGGGTGGTGATAGAGTCGGCAGGGATGGTCGTGAAAGAGGTGAAGAGGTAGCAACAGTGGGGAAAGTGGAGAAAGCGGATGAGGATGGAAGGTTGGAAACGGAGGCAAAGTTACGTGGGTTGTTGATGAGCGGGAGGGAGGGTACATGGTGAGAGCGGTAGGCGATTGTGGCGCCACGACGGGCTGCTTGACGAAGAGCCATGGCGGAGAAAGCAAGCAGAATGGTAAGGTGGCTGTGGTGGGGTAACAGATATCGCTTGGGGAAGGAGATTCCTGCGGATGAATGTGAATGAACTACAGTAAAGTCTGCATTCATCCAGGAGGTTATACACTAGTACAATCCAACGAAAAACATAACAAATGATGCATAGAGTCAATAGTTTTTAATCACGCATACATTATTTAAAATATTTATTCCCGTTCAAATTCACACTTTTCAAAAAACTAATGATCAAGTTCACTTCAACTATCAATCCTATGAAGGATCGCAAAATGATGTACTTATACTTGTTTTTGGTTCTTATACCTTGGTGCAGTCACTCCCAGACTGACAGGTTAGGGTTTCAACCTCGTTTGTTTTGAAAGGTCAGCTCAAGGACCAGCTAGCGGCAGCATCAGGTCAGGCAGCAACCAGCATGAACTCACCCCCTCACGAACTCATCTCGCCCTCACTCTGCTGCTCTGCTTGCTTCGATCTCATCGCATCCATCATTTCGTCCCTGTTCTCACGGTCACGGGCACACCCATCCATCACGTCCTTTCTCCGCCCCATCATATCCCCCAGTCAAGCCTGTTGTCTCCGATGGGCTCATAGCAAATCGCTCGGCTGCAACTTCAGCCCTTTCCCGACTCGAAGGCGAGATTTGAAGGCCCTGCAGAGTTTGGTGTCACTTTAGCGGGAAAAACTCCTAGTAGTCGAGAGTCTCCTGCACTGCTTCCTATCCACTCGCCGAGGAAGCAGGAGAGCCTTCTGTTCCCGTAGACGTTTCTCGACTGCCCTAATCCTTGCAAAGCAGACCTTTACTAAGGAGTTCAGTTGGCCGCGAAAGTTGTTAGAAGTTTTAACGTGTTGTTGCGTCCGTCTGTGCTAATCCTTTCGTTCGTCACTTGCGTCAGAAGGTTACCCCAGAGATAGCGTTGTGCGTAAGCGTATCGTTTATACCAACGCTGCCCCTTCTTACATTAGCGTGTGTACCGCCGGTTCCAACTAAGCGCTATTCGTCATGGACGACGCAACATTGGATGACATTATTGCTCGTCTCCTAGACGTTAGGAACGGCAGGCCGGGCAAGCAGGTGCAGCTGACAGAAGCAGAGATTCGAAGTCTCTGCACGACGTCCCGGGACATCTTCTTGCAACAACCCAATCTTCTTGAGCTTGAGGCACCCATAAAAATATGCGGTGCGTCCTGTGGTTGGTGGAAGCATAAAAAGTTTTCATTCCACCCTTACATGCTTTACATCCGACATTTCCGCTCAGCCCTCTTGTTATCCCTATCCCTCGCTGCTTTATCCGCCCTCCACATTCGTTTGCTTTTATAAGCTCTTCTGAACTTCGTTTCATTGCTCCACCGTAGGTGACATCCATGGGCAGTACTCGGACCTTTTGCGTCTCTTTGAGTACGGTGGTTTTCCGCCTGAAGCAAATTACTTGTTCTTGGGAGACTATGTGGACCGCGGAAAGCAGAGCATGGAGACCATCTGCCTTCTTCTAGCGTACAAAATCAAGTACCCGGAGAATTTCTTCCTCTTGCGTGGAAATCACGAGTGTGCGTCCATTAATCGCATCTATGGCTTCTATGACGAGTGCAAGCGCCGGTGAGTTGGAATTCGGTGGTTAGAAGGCTACCGTAGGAATGGCACTGCTGCTGCAATCCTAGGCTTGGACAGGTTCACTAGCTCACGCTCGCGTCTCAGCGGGTCGCTCTCATTAACCAGTTCGAACAGCTGAATTCGCCACTTTGGTTCCCCTTTCACGTCTGCCCTTTCCCCGTCTCGTTGCTTATAACTTCTATCCATCAGGTATAACATTCGCTTATGGAAGACGTTCACTGAGTGCTTCAACTGCCTCCCTGTGGCTGCTCTCATAGATGAGAAGATACTTTGCATGCATGGTGGGCTATCACCTGACTTGCGCTCCCTCGAGCAGATAAAGAAGATTGGTCGACCCACAGATGTCCCGGATGCAGGCCTGCTGTGTGACCTATTGTGGGCAGATCCTGATAAAGATATTCAGGGATGGGGGGATAATGACAGGGGCGTGTCGTATACATTTGGAGGTGACACGGTCACAGAATTCCTTGACAAGCACGACCTTGACCTTGTGTGTCGGGCACACCAGGTTGGTGCCTTCTTGTCTTATGTTTATCGGTGCTGGAAGCACCATGTGTTCGAGCTGTTGAGTTAGCATCAACCACATCCTGGGACTGGTCGTTTTTATTTCACATTCACATCTTACAGTACCTCCCGCTTGTCTCCTGTTCAGGTGGTGGAAGATGGTTACGAGTTCTTTGCCAAGCGACAGCTAGTTACAGTGTTTTCAGCACCCAATTACTGTGGCGAGTTTGACAATGCAGGAGCCATGATGAGCGTGGATGAGAGTCTCATGTGCTCCTTCCAAATTCTGAAACCAGCAGAGAAGAAGCCGAAATTTGGGTATGGTTCAGCAGGAGCTGGCCGCGGAACACCACAGCGAGGAGCAAGGGTGAGTAACACGTAATCACCTTCACGATGTTGAGTCCAAGTTTTCCAGTTTCATGTGGTTGCGGCTTTTTTGTTTCTCTCTTACCGGTATGCCGTATTGTGTTCCCTCATGATCATGTCATGTTGCAGAGATGAAGACGAGAATGGCTCATTTGTCTAAGATGTTCCTCATCCTAGTGTTGCAACCTTTTTAAAAAGAGCAATGTTGTTGAACAGTGTGGTTTATTCAAGCTGTTACAGTGATGGTGACATTGATGCAATTTTCTCCACATGCGCGTGCAAAGGATCTCTGGCGGGGTGATGATAATTCCCTCAGACATTCTCAGATACTGGTAGGTTGAATTACTCATGTTGTAGTAAATTGTGCTGCCTTTACACCAGGTTCTGAAATTAGTCGTCACTGAATTAGTTCACCCAGAGTTATGCATCTCAGAAACCACAACATCAATGTTGAGTCTAAATAGCTATTATCTCGATGTTCCCGAGTGGCACAAGTCATGCCGTCAGTGGTAAGCATTCGCGGTAAACCCTCAGCGGGGCACGAGACGTCTACGTAGAGCGAAACAAAATTGCCTTATACTTCGGTTTGGTTGTCTTCTCAGCATCCTTACGAGAGAAGAGCGCTCGGTGAATCTGTTTCCGGAATGAGAAGCCGTTTTCATGTGTCGTTTTCTGCACAGCAGCAGCTTGCACGTCTCCCTCGTGTGAGGAGTCCTGCGTGACGTCGATCAGTCTTCTTTCAGATATTGAAGTAGACTTTGTGGAGAAGTGATAAACTCCGTGCACGGTTGTCGTTGAAACCATATCCAAGTCTGCGGCATCACAACAATGGTCATTATGACATCAAATTGACAGAACTTGGCGAAGTAGAGACTTGACGACTGGACGGGAGGCTTACCCTTGTGGCATATCCAGAGAGTGACCATGCAGAGCATCAGAATGAGCGGAATGATGTGAACCAGCTTCTCAGTCCCTCTAGAGAGAGATTTATCCTTGGCTGGTGTCTCAGAATCAGGGCCAAGAGGGATATCAACTGCCGCTTGAGAGCTCTCAGGAAGTACTGTCTGTGTCATGGTTGGGAGATGGATATTACCGAAACGAAGAAACAAATGTTTGGAAAGACTGAGGAAACCAAGAGCAGTACGATCCGACCGTGGATTGAAGAAAAAGTGAAGTAAAATTAGTGAAGTGAATGAGTAATTCGCCCGAGACGATATATGAAGTCCAACTGGGGAAGCTCAAACTGGACGCTGAAGAATGTCTCGGAGAGTTCAAGGAATTGAGTCAACTGCGCCTCGAGGATCAGACTTGGTGGGTTCATCCGTCCAGCGATGCAGTCGCCATTTGGAATTTGAATTTGGCACAACGACCAGCTGTGCGACTGGCGGGGTCGCAAAACAGGCGGGATGACACAAAAGGTTCGCTCAATTACATGCGACACTCCGCTGGCGACGTTTCCCCGCCTCAGCCAACGGTTTTCTGTACACCACGTGCACTCTCGAAATGTGTGTAGAATGTGTGTAGTTACTAAATCCATATAAATCGTTAATCATACTACTACAATGCACTGAGAAAACAAAATGCACTGAGAAACTGGGCAAAGAATAAAAGTGAATGGGTCCTCTCCTGGAATTTATTTAATCATATTTTTACTCATACACATGAGAGTTACATAAAGCATATAGCTGCCAAAAGTACAGCAGAATTACACCTCCTACCTTGGTATAAATCCACAGACCAGGGAAACATCACGACAAGGATTCAGCCAAGCAAAACCAGACACTTAAACCATGGCGACAGCAGCAAGTGCAGCTGCCGAAAGCGACGGGAGCCTAAGCAGTGAGGAGAGCTTCACAGAGCCCGAAGAGGGATGGGTGGGACGTCTTGGCGTGCCTGTGGCCATGGTAGGGGACCCGTGCGAGGAGGTGATGCTGCTGTGGGGTTTGCGCGACCCGTTCACTGCTCGCATGGGCTGCTTCGTGGATCAAGGCGCCACCAGCGTGCGCATCGAAGCCTGCGGACAAGTCCTCGACATTTTCCAGTCGCCCTCCTGCCTCGCAGGTACCCCACTCCAGTGCTAGCGTCCACGGGACAACGCGTCCACGCGTCCACGCGACCACGCGTCCACACACGTCCACGCGTCCACGATTCCACGCGTCCGCGGCCGCCAACGCACCGCGGCCGTGTTCCTGTTCCCGTGGTTAAACCGCCTCGTCGGTTTCATCCTTCTCTACCCCATCCTTCCGCACCTGGTCTGCAGGTTCGGCCAGGCGTGACAGGATCGGTGCTGTGGGACAGCGGCGTGGTGCTGGCGAAGGCGCTGGAGCACCTGGCGGACTCGGCGCGCTTACCCATTCGGGGTGCTAGGTGCCTCGAGCTGGGGGCTGGCTGCGGCCTTGTGGGGTGCGTGGTGTGAGGGGGGGGAGGGGGAGCGGGCTTCAGGTTCTGAACAGCTTAAGTGTGGGGAGAGAGGTTGAGGTGGGGAGGTAGGTGGGGTCACAGGTTGGGAGACGGTTCCTTCGATTTTCCTGTCGCCCTCACCGTCACAATTTTTCTGTGTGATGAGAAGACATTAAAACCCGAGGTCCACAGGTTTCAAAGGTAGGAAGGTTGAGGCAATTTTGGGGAACTTTAGACTCCGGTTTTAAGTCGTGACTTCCCTCGTTTGCTAGGAGCGTCCCACGTGCACATCACGGACCAGTATGACCGCATGTGCCTGCTGTAATGAGACGATTTTCAAATTGACTAAAAAAACCTTCCCTGTTCTTCCCCCGTACCCTACCCACCCCCCCCTCAGCATTGTGGCGGCACTTCTAGGAGCATCACACGTGCACATCACGGACCAGTATGACCGCCTGCGCCTGCTGCACCGTAACGTCTGTCACAACCTGCTGCCCTCGCACCCCCTCTCTGCCCCCTCCTCCTCCCTCAACTCCTCCACCTCTTCTTCCTCCTCGTTCATTCTACATGGATCGGCCTCTTCTGCCCGCCACTCATCGGCCAAGAAGGCTCCGGCGGGTAGTGCCTCCGGTGGTGGCGGTGGTGGTGTGGGGGGAAAGCGCAGAGGGGGAGCGGGGAAGGCAGGCTCAGCAGCAGCAGGAACAACTGGGCAAAGAGCGTCGGTTGGTGATGGGGGGATGGGGGGAGGAGGGGGGGACAGTGGGGCGTGGCCGGAGGTGGTAGAGGTGTGCCATGGGAGGAAAGGCGAGGAGACGCGGGTGAGAGTGAGGGTGTTTGAGCTGGAGTGGGGGGAGGACATGGCGCTTCCAGGATTCGACGGTGAGGAGGAGGAGGAGGAGGAGGAGGAGGAGAATGACACCGACGGGAGCGGCGAGGATGAGGCGGATGATGAGGAGGAGGAGGATGAGGAGGATGGGGGTGAGGAGGAGGGTGGGGGCGGTCGGGGGAGGGAATTGCGGGAGCAGGAGCAAGAGAGGAGAGGGGCGCGGAGGGGGTATGACTATGTGGTGGCGTCGGATGTGGTGTTCAGTGAGGAGGGTGTGGAGGTGCTCCTGCAGGCGCTGGGGCAGCTCGTGCGCGTGCACACCACTGTGCTCATCGCAGGCGAGCTCAGGAACGGTGAGCTTAGGAAGATTTGCACTCTTCCTTTCTTCTTTTTGTCTTCCTTTCTTTTCTTCCTTTTTTTTGTCTTCCTTTCTTTTCTTCCTTTTTTTTGTCTTCCTTTCTTTGTTCCTTTTTGTTCATTCTGTGCTGTTTTTCTTCGAAGGATTGTAAACGCTAAGCTAGGGAAGGAAGAGAGTGCGACGACTAGTAAGGGATCAGGCTCTGAGGGATGCATTTCTTGCTGCCCCTCTCATCTTTCCCCTTCCTTACTCTTTCCTCCCTCACTCCCACTCTCTTACTCTCCCTCTCTCCTGCTCTCCCTTGGTGCGCGTTGCATCAGACGAGGTATTGCAACTCTTTCTGGAGCGCGCACAGGCGCGCTTCACAGTGGGCAGGCTGTTAGACAGGCACCTGCACCCAGACTTCATCAGTCGCCGGGTTGTTGTCTACTGCCTCGCTCGCAAACGCAGGCGGCATGTCACAGGGAGTGACGGCCGCTGAGAGGGCCCTGGCCTAGTGCTTTCTTTGTACGGTACTGTATGTAGATTCCTCGTACTGGTGAATTCTCTGGGAAGTAGTCAGCGCGAAATTGGTGAGGACGTACCGTAGGTTGATTTGAAGTTCTTGCCCGTGAAATCAGGTGACCCTGTTACTTGCAAACTCTTTTTGACTAGAGTGAACACTAGTGATTTGATAACGTTAAAGGAAGCGATCAGCTCGTCAGGCAGCCATATCTGTGTTCCATCACAAAACATGTTCCATCTCGGAAAGGCATTGATTGGTATTGCTTCAGCAGGACGTGGAAGCATAAAGACTGGTCACGAACTGACTGATTGGAACTGGTCAGTGTTGCTTCATCAGAATTCAAATCGTTCACAACAAAATGCATTCCAAAAAAGAATTATGTACAGGCCTAATGTTCGGAGAAACTAATGTACACTACACTCAGCAGCAGACCCTCAAATTCCATGAAGGTCCAGTCACTGGTAACAAGAATGACCCGTACAATTTCTTGTCAACAAGAATCCGAAGACTTACCTGTTTACTCACTTCATGAGATACTATGCTACAGCGCGTCTTGACTTGACACGAGAACTGGCTTAATCAGGTGCTGCAGCAACTGCTGCGGCAACGGCGGCAGCAGCACTAGCTGTGGGGAGCACACTGAAGCCATACGTTTGTGTATAGTGTTGACTGATCCACCCAGCAACTGTTCCTCTTTGGAGAACGAGCCGAAGACCTCTCAACCAGAACTGCTACGGGAGAGTAGTGAGGCAGGGGTCACAGACGCGCACCAGTTGCAGCAGCAAGCACCAGCAGCAGCACCGCGCCAGCATGCGTGACCTTTGAGTCAAACTCAAAAGTCACCAGCCGCAGCAACGAGGAGCAGTAGCACCACCCCTGCGTGTCTCGACCGATACAGCGACAGAAAGTAATCAATCCACGACCCACCCCCTCCCCGCTTCCCCACCTCCCCTCCCTCGCCGCTGCTGCAGCTACCGTCACTGCTTTCCCCCGCCGCTGCTCCTGCCGCTGCAGCTGCTGCCGTGCTGCTGCTACTACCACTGCTGCTACTGCCACTGGTGCTGGTGATCCAGGCAGAGGAAGAAGGGGAAGCAGGGGTCGCTGGGAGAGCGCATGCAGTGGGAGATGGCCGGTGGGTGGAAGAGAGGCAGGTGGAGTAAGGGGGTCCACAGGATAGAGAGGTTGAGGCTGCTCCTCCCCCTCCTATTCCTCCCCCTCCTCCACCTCCTACACCTTCTCCGCCTTTATGTGCATCTGAAGCACACACTTCTAGAGTGCTGCGAACGCTGCCGCTCCTGTTGCTGCCGCTGCTACCCCTGCTGATGCTCTTACCCTTAGAACCTGTTCTTCCCTTGGCAGCGCTGTCACCAGCAGCAGCGGCAGCAGCTGCTGCTGCGACCGCTGCAGCAACAAACCTCACAGTAACCGCCCCCTGAGGCAAGGAGCGTGCAGAGGAGAGGAAATCAGATGCGGAATCAGCAGAAGAGAAGATGGGAGAAGTGGAACCCAAACTGTTCCTGGGCCCAAACCTCCCCTTGCCAGCATCTGTTGCAAGAAACGCCGAGGCAGCAGCAGCAGCAGCCGCCAAAGCAGACGCAGAAGCCACCGCATCCTGCTTCCCCCCCCTCTTCTGCTTCGCTACTCTCTTCTTTGATACCAACCGCCTCCTTCTTGGCACCAGCTGCATCAGCTGCTGCCGCAGCCGCCGCTGCTGCTGCTGAAATACTGCCATCTGCTGCCTTTCCGCCAGCTCCTTCGCCCTCCGGGTCTGTTCCTGCTCCCGCTCTCTACGCTGCTGCCGAACCCGCCGCACAGCCTGTAGAGCGAGGCTGGTCAAGGTGCCAGTGTAGTTGCGGGGGTCATGGTCGCGGCTTATGGTGCCCTCTGTGCCGTACGCAGCTGGGTCGGAGAGGGTTTCGAGCGGATGCGGGTTGTTGAGGAAGGCCAGCTGGGCTGCTCGCAGCTCAAGGCGGGCCTGGGCGGTAGATGAGGCACAGGCAGAGGCAGAGGGAGAGGAGGCGGGAGAGGTGGTAGGAGAGGAAGAGGAGGGGCGAGAGGAAGATGCAGCCCACACGTTCTGACTCTCTCTCTCCTCCATCCAGCCCCGCTTGCTTCCCTCCCCCTCGCCCTCTCCTCCTCCTCCTGCTCGCCCCACCACCAGTCGCCACAGCCGCCGCGCCAGAGCTACCGTGTGCCACGGCAGGGGATTCGGCACCTGTATCGGCGCACTCGGGTGTGCCAAGTGGTACAGAGCGGTGCCAGGCGGCAGCAGGGGGTGCGGAGGGGCCTTGGCAGGATCGGGCTGCAGCACCATCATATGCCCCATGGGAGCATACACAAGCCTCTGAGACAGCAAGCAGGGGTGCTTCCTTAAAGCCCCACTCACACGCCTTAGAACCTCCGTGATATGTGAGGGATACTCACACGTGAACGCCCGAGGGACTAAGTCCCGAGCCATCACCACATTCCACATCGCCTCTTCAGGCTCCAGGCCCAGCAAACCTAGCAACCGGTCTCCACCGCACATGATGGACGGGGAACCGAAGAGGGCGACGGGGAGGAGGTGGTGCGGGGAGGCCTCCCCGCGGAGGTGCAGCAGGAGGGAGAGAAGCGCAGCTAGACTGCCGCCCAGGGAATGCCCTGTGAACTGGACCCTGGGTGGATGCGGCCGGGACCGGTGCGCGTGCAAGTCACTGTGAGGGTAGTCATGGTCAGGGTCGTGGGCGTGGGCGTGGGCGTGGGTGGAGTGGGAGTCAGAGCGGGCGTGCTCATGAGCGTGGGCATAGGAGCAATGCGAAGACTGCACGCCGTGCAGGTGCGTGCGAATGTACGGAAGCATCTCCCGATACAGAGCCTTAGCAGCGGTGTAAATCCCTCTGTGCACCAGCACGCCTAGAGCCGGGTCTTCAAAGGGCACAGGGTCAAAGCTGAGGTTAGCCTGCCAGGAGGCCACGGACTCAGAACCCTGGATGACTATGTACCGCGTGTTGGTCGCCTCATCGTCGCATATGTACCACGCACACGGGCTCTGCCCGCTCCCTGCGTCCTCCCCCTCTGATCCTGCTGCTGCTGCTGCTGCTGCTGCTGCTGCTGCTGCTGCGGTCTTGCTCCCTGCTGCGCTGCTCTTGGCGCTTGCAGCAGGAGTAGAGGCAGGAGCAGGAGGGGGAGCAGGAGCAGAAGCAGGAGTGGCAGTAGGAGCTCCCATTTCAGTAGTGGCAGGTGTGGGAGAGCAGGCCGCAGGACCAGTGGCAGCAGCAGCAGCAGTGGCTGCACAGGCGAAGGCCTCAGCAGTGGCGTGGAGAGAGATGGGGTGCGGTGATGCGGCCTCTTCCAAAAGTGGGGCATCCAGAGATAGTGGGTCGGGTGAGGCAGCAGGAGCGGCAGTAGCAGCAGCAGCAGGAGAAGGAGCTGCGGTAGAGGCAGAGGTAGAGGAATAAGCAGAGGTGGTGGCAGTGGTGGTGGTGGTGGTGGTGTGGGGAATTGCAGCAAGGGCAGTGGTGGGAGGTGCAGGAGAGGCAACCAAGGCAGTGACTTGAGGCAACGCGGGTGGTGCTAGAGCTACTGATGCTGCTGAGGGAGAGGGAGCAGGGGAGTGGTGAGGGGGAGGAAGAGCCGCGTGGATGGCAGGAGCAGGGAGCAGAGCATGCTCCATGGACGGCCCAGCAGGGAGTGCTGCCATTGGATGTGACACTGAAACCGGACTTGTACTCTCTGCTGCTGCTGCTGCTGCTGGAGGTGATGTTGCTGTGGGTGGTGCGGCTGCTGGTGCTGCCGCTGCTGCTGCTGCTGCTGCTGCTGCTGCTGCTCTGGCGGCCTTAGCCTTCTGCTTGGCGAGGCTGGCAGCGGCAGCTGCAGCGGCAGCAGCTTCGGCCTGAGCAGCGGCGAGGAGGTGCGAGGAGGTGACGAGGTTGAGGCCGAAGCGGCGATGCAGCTGCTTGGTCTGGAGGAACAAGCAGATAGACAGGCACGCAGACAGGGGCATGGAAGGACATGGAAGGACGAGAGGTGGAAGGAGAGATGAGAACCCAGAGACAGAGAAACAAGCAAGCAAAGTGACGAGGAAACGGTGAACGGCAAACAGGACAAAGAGACTGCGCAGAAACAATGTTGGCGAGAAAGAGGTGTTGGGATGGGAGTACACTCACATCAAGGCGGGGGATGCTGTAGGCCTTCTCGCACAGCCATGCGAGCAGCGACACGCGCCACAGCTCCTCTCCTGACGCCGGCTGCAGGAACGGACGCAGCGAGTCCGCTGTATGCTGCACCCACATGGCTCCTTTACCTGCTGCTGCTGCTGCTGCTGCTGGCGCCGTTCCCTCTGCATTAATCTCGCTTGTTGCACCAGCAGCACCAGCAGCCGTGGCAGCAAACGCTTTGCACGAGTTGCACGTGTTGCACGAAACAGCTTTTCTCGCTGCTTGCTTTCCCCCGGCATCCGTGGCTGCTCCTGCTCGGCCGCCCGGCAACCCCACGCCAGAAGCGGCCAAGCCGATCACATCCTCCGTGCCTGCTTCACGCATTCCCAGCTTTCGTTCTTCCACCTTCAACTCCTGCAGCAGCGGCCCTTTCAGCTCCGCCCCTTGGCTCTGAACGGGCGCTGCTGCTGGAGCGCTGCTGGTAGCTTGTTCAGCAGTAGTAGCTTCTTCCGCGGTCAGCAGAACGGGTTTACCGTCGCTTTGCTTTTGTGGCTGAGCTTGCTCCTCCTGCCTCTGCTGCCGCCTCCAGTCCTTCAACATTCCCAGCGCCCATGCACTGGCCCGTGCAGGCTTCTTGCTCTCTCCTCCTTCGAAACTCTCTGCGACCACGCTTTCCTCCTTGCTTCCGTCGCCCACCCCTGTTACCACCTCTGCCGCCGCCCCCTGTGTTGCCTCTTCAGCATCTACTTTGATTGGTTCCACCATCCCTGCCAAACCCTCCTCCTTCTCCTTCCCCTTAATATTCTCCTCAACCCGTCCCTCCCCCTCTCCTTGTCTCCGCTCCTCCCTCGCGCGCGCGTCTTGCTTCAGCTCGCCCCGCATCCCCCGCCAGAGCGACATGAATCCGCGCATGTACACGCGCGGGCCCCACTCCCCCTCCGCCTCCGTCTCCTCCTCTGCATCCGCCGCGCCTTCTTCGTCCTGCCACTCCCCCGCTGCAATTTCCGCCTCTCCCTCAAGCGGAGGCGCAACGGGCGCGGCCAGGGACCCAACGGTCAGTACTGGTGTCGGAGGCGGCCCCGCGGGCTCAACGTCTCGCGAGTGGGAATCGCGGATTGCAGAATCGTCAACCAAGGGAAATGACTCGTCAATCGTCGTCCGCGGGGAGTCATCTCCCGCGCGCGACAGCAGCAGCAGCGCGCGCACTCTCTCCGCCACCTCGTCCTTGGCTGCGCTCACCGCAGCGCCCACCGCCGCGTGGAGCGGCGGACCGCTGCCATCGCCCGCGCCGTCGGGCTCGGCACTGACGCCGTCGGCACCGCCGAGGGACTCCCCTCGCTGGGAGGCGGAGCTTCGATCTGAAGTTGGCGTCGTGTCCGAGTCTTGTAGCCGGCGTTCCTCCTCCTCGTCGCCAGGGGCGCAATCGTCGCCGGAGTCGCCATCTCGCCTCAGAAGAAACGCCACGAGGCCCGCGTCTCCTGTGATCGCGGGGAGGGACTTCACGGGCAGAGAGAGTGCGACGTTGGAGAGCCATAACGACGGCGGTGGCGGCGGCGGCGGCGGCGGCTTCGACGACGACGGTGACCGCGACGAATCGATCACACCATCATCCAGCAGACTCGAGTGATCGGAGTTGGCGGAAAGCCCTTGCCGACTTGTAGCGCTTGTCGCGCTCTCGTGCTCTTGCGCTTTCTTTTGTGTCAACTCAACAGTAGCACTCGAGTGATCGGAGTTGGCGGAAAGCCCTTGCCGACTTGTAGCGCTTGCGCTCTCGTGCTCTTGCGCTTTCTTTTGTGTCAACTCAACAGTAGCACTCGAGTGATCGGAGTTGGCGGAAAGCCCTTGCCGACTTGTAGCGCTTGTCGCGCTCTCGTGCTCTTGCGCTTTCTTTTGTGTCGACTCAACAGTAGCACTCGTCTGTGGTTCCGCCACCGGCGGTGACCTTGTGTGGCGGGGAGCGGAGCGCAGGCTGGACTGCGCCGGTGCCTGCGAAACTTCCCCTGCGGACTTCTTAGCAGTAGGCGCTTTGCGGAAGGGCGTGATCGCGCACGGGGGCTGCGCGGGTGCGTGACGGGAGGGGCTTGATCGGCCACCGCGCGGCAGGAGCTGATTGGTGATGACGACGCCGCGATGCGCGCGTGCGGAAAGAATCGTTTGAGAGGCATTCAAGGTGGCGCGAGATGCGCGAGAATGGAATAGATCGGAGGGTGATGTTGGCCTACTGTTTAGTAAAGGCCGTTGTGTTGGTGGGTGATGTGGGGGGAGGCCGGCGGAGTGCGTCCCAGGGCATGGATGGATGGAACGAGGGTTCAGCGCAGATGTGCTTAGCATCGTGCAGAGCCAGCACGGCGAGAAAAAACGCGAAGTTAGAGCAAGAAGACGAAAGAACGCGGACCGAGTAAAGAAAGCGGAGCGAGAGTTACGGAGAGCGGAGGACGGAGCTTGCGGATGATTTCAGAGGTGTTGGTGTACGATCCAGGGAAATGGAAACGCCAGTGGGGCGAACAAGCGCCTCAAAAGCGAGAGGGTTGCCACGGTGAGAGCTACGAGAGCGTCACAGCGGCAGGAGTAGATGAAGGAGCTATCGATTGAATGATGTAACCACTAGTTTTTTCTCGTCCTGTATTGAAATGGAAGGACTTGTGAGGAAGATATTTGTCTTTATTTTGGCACGGCAGTTGCGGAAGTGGTCTACGGGTTTCGAATGCGGAGAAATAGGTGAGATTCTGGAATTCAGTCGAACCGCGAAGGTAGTGACGACTGGTTGGATGATGTGTGTAGGAAGTGTGTCGTCGTGGCTCCACGACACGAAATCGAGGCAGGCGAAGCTCGCCTCAGTCCAAAATGAGCTTCGCTGAGAATCTATAGGCTCTGTGGAGCACTAGTTTGCGCAGCGCAGGCGAAAGAAACCACTTTCGCGCATCGTCGCCAGTGTGTCGTGTCCAAGTGGCGCGCACACGAGGCACGGAGTCATCTCGAAGCAGCTGTACGTCGTTTGTTCAATTATACGGTGGAGATTGAGCGTCAACTGTTCGCGAACAGTTTCTGCCAGCTGGAACCACCTTGTTAACCAATCACCTCCTTGAACACTAGGTGGAAAGCATTAAACTCTGTGGTGAGTAGGACATCTCGATCCCTCCAGCACGAATCCGCCGCGCCCAACACACCATTTTAATTCGCCACGTGGGTTGACTCAAAGTGCGTCAGCTTTGCTCTCGCCTACTTGGAGTCCACAACCAACATGCACCTTTCTGACGGTCGTGATTCGAATAACACGCGTAACGACGGGTGTCAATTGGTTCGTTCAGCTAGTCAACGTGTTGCAGAAGCAGCAACTATCGCAGATCCTGATCCAAAAATCTATTAGCCTGAGTACACCTCTGCTGGGAACATATTTCTCTTACAATGTCTTGATACAATAATCAATGTGTTGTTTTCGTACATTGTTCGTTACTGTTTATCTCACCATAGAGTAACTACATCTTACTAGTTAGTAAACTTATATACTAATCAGCTTTATACAGTTATTTCACACATAATTCAATTTGATAATAGCTTTGATCTATGAGGAGAAATTATTGAGGTTTGCTGCTATTGATGCCACAAGAGCAAGATAGCCTGGGTGTAGTAGGATGCGTCAATGCTATCTGCTGATAGTGAGTTTGATAAGAGAGGGAAATGTGCATCAGCTACAGCATCCCACGCAAGCCCCTTGATTCTGGATAAACTTGGACGAATGGGTCAGAGCCACATCATGCCTCGAGGGTTCCAAACCTGCTGCCAAGCCAAGCGATGGTTCGTCTAGTCTAGGCGGCTGCCATGGTGCCGTCCTCTCCCCAAGGATCAAGCAAGTTTCTTGTGAAAGCTCGTGCTTTGAATCAAGAATCCAGATTCCAGTCTGGATGCTGAACTGTACGAAATTCTTTCAATCCACACTGGAGGCTCGTACTGGGATCTGGCACATCCTTAGCCAGGTCTGCTCAATCCCCACAGCCTACCCTGAAGGTGACGTCTTTCTTCGTGGTATCATGGGGCGCGACGCATCACCTTTCGATGCCAACGGCCAGGCGCCGCTGGTGTTTGCCCTGAATGGACGGCGTATGGAAGTTCGCGACGTGGGCCCGGACATGACATTGAATGAATTCGTCCGCACCAAGACAGAGTTTACAGGAACTAAGCTGGCCTGCGGTGAAGGTATGCGTTACTTTGAGAGTTTTGTCTTAAATTCATGATTATATTGACTAAAACTGCCTGAAAATCGTGGCTTTTTCACAGTCATTTTGGTATGTCTTTTTCAACAACCGCGAGTCTCATTACAGTCACCTACTCGGCTCTTCACCGTTCCAAATACCATGCACATCACATGAAGTAACCTTATCAGTCCTGATTTTTTCGAGTACCTTCACTACATTGTCGTTGCTGCCATGCATGTTGCCGTATAGAAGAGTAATTCTGAATTCTATTTTCCACACATTTCTCCGTGTTCCCTGGACCCCATAATCTCAGGTGGGTGCGGTGCATGTGCGGTCATGGTCGCTCGGTACAACCCTCTCACCAGCACCATCGACGAGCGTTCGCTCAACTCCTGCCTGCTTCCGCTCGCCTCCTTGCACCTCGCCGCCATCACCACCGCGGAAGGCCTCTGCTCCGCGTCCCGCTCGTCCCCCGCCGACCTCCCCGCAGCCAACGGCGGCGCAGGCGCACCCGCACCCTCCGGCGCAGCCAATGGCGCAGGAAAAGACGCGGGGCTGAAGCAGCAGCGGGACCCGCACACGTGTCACAAGGGCGGTCGCGCGGAGCAGCCTCACGCGGTGCAGCAGCGGCTGGCGGGGTTCCACGCGTCCCAGTGCGGCTTCTGCACGCCTGGTATGTCCATCGCGCTTTACGCTGCCGTCCGCCGCCGGCGCGCGGGAGCCTCCGGGGAGGGAGTGGAGGCGGTGAGTGGGCTGACGGAGCAGGAGGTAGAGGAGGCAATGGCTGGGAACCTGTGCCGCTGCACCGGGTACCGGCCTATTCTCGACGCCTGCAAGAGCTTCGCCGGGGCGAACGGTAGTGCGGCTGCATCAGCAGCTGCAGCAGAAGCAGCAGGGGGGTTGATGGATTTGGAAGAGCTTGGGTCTGTTGGTGCTGCAGGAATGCGCTCCTGTACGGTGCTAGATATCAGTGAGTTTGCCCCTGCTGCGATCTCCGCTCAGTCGCACGGCGAGGGGGAGTGTGGCGGGAAGGACAGCAGCGGCGGAAGCGGCGGCGGCGGGAAGTGCAGCAAGAGCGGCAGTGGAAAGTGCAGCGGGCTGTGCGGCACGCCTCGCAAGCCACTCCCGCGCTACGATCCCACCTCCGACCCGCCGTTCCCCGCCTGGCTCACCGCGGAGACCCAGCGCCAGCTCAGCGCGCAGCAGAAGCAGGCAGGAGGGGGAGATAAGATGCTTGGGTGGGAAGTCTGGGAGGAGTCAGGCGTGGGAGAAGCGGCGGGCAGGGGCAGCGATGGGGCGAATGGAGAGGCGAGTGCGGCGGGAGAGGGGGAGGCGGGGGAGCAGGCGGAGGAGGTGAAGGGTGAGAGGAAAGGAAGGAAGGTTGCGTGGGTGGCGTCGAGAAGTCTCGACGAGCTGCGATCTGTGCTGTTGGGAGGCAAGGGGAAAGGAGGAGCGGGTGATGGTGGGGAGAAAGAGGTTCGGCTGGTGGTGGGCAACACTGCGGTGGGTGTGTATCCTGAGCTGGGTCGCTATGATGGCGTGGCTCGTGTGACTAGAGTGGACTTGAAACACCTTCCTGAGCTGCAGCGCGTGGCGTGGGAAGAAGGGCCGGGTGACGAGGAGAATGAGGGGGGCGAAGGGGGCGCGCGTGTGGTGGGGGTTAGATTCGGTGCTGCTGTGTCCTTGGCCGATGTGATTGCTGTGCTGGACACAGTAGCAGGGAAGGGCACTGGTGCTTCCAGTACCAGCAGCAGCAGCAGCACCAGCGACGGTGCTCCAGTAATTTCTGGCTGGAGTGAAGCAAAGGCGGCAGGAGCATCAGCATCAGCAGCAGCGGAGGTGTTTTCTAGTGTGGCGGCTCACCTGCGCAAGGTAGCAGGGCCGCACGTGCGCAACGCTGCCAGCATCGGTGGCAACCTGGTGCTGGCCGCCTCTCAGCGCGCCTTCCCTTCCGACGTTGCCACGCTCCTGCTCGCCCTAAACGCCTCTGTGCGCACCGCCACACCCACCCCCACTGCTGCGTCCGGCGCAGGAGGAACAGCAGGAGGAGCAGGAGGCAGTGAGGGGTGGGCGTGGGAGGAAGACTCTTTGGAGCAGTTCCTGCTGCGCGGTCCTCTGCCCAGCACCACTCTGCTGCACTCCGTCTTCCTGCCCTGCCCCTCGCTCCCTCCCTCCGCCGCCTCTGCAGGCCAGCAGCTGGTGTTTGACTCCTTCCGTGCGTCTGTCCGCCCCTCGGGCAACGCCTATGCGTACGTCAATGCCGCCTTCCTCCTTCGCCTCACCCCCACTTCCTCCTCCTCCTCCTCCTCCTCCTCCTCGTCCCCCATCATCCACTCCGCTCGCCTGGTCTTTGGGGCGTTTGGCAGCCCCCACGCCATCAGAGCGCGCCAAGCTGAGTCCTGCCTGCTTTCTGCAGCAGCCAACGGCGCGCTGACACCTGGCAGCGTGCTGGAGGTGGTGAGGGCAGTGCGGGGGGAGGTGGTCCCTCCAGAGGGGACGCGGTGGGCGGAGTATAGAGGCAGCTGTTGGGTTCCTCTTCTCCTTCCTCTCCCGCCACCTGCCCCAGATTGATCCGCCCCGGAAGAGCCTGCAGCACGGCGATGGTGCTGCTGCTGCTTCTGCTACTGGTGCTGCTGGCGGTAGCGTGAGTGGAGACGGAGTGAGGGGCAGCAGCGAGCAGCAGCACGTGGTGATGAGGGGGCAGCAGGTGTACAGCGTCACCAACGACGTCTTCCCTCTCGCTTTGCCCCTCCCCAAGCTGGGCGTCGACCTGCAAGCCACAGGTGCATCATTCATCATCGCCCTTCCCTTGGCCCCCCCACCGTCTCCCATGCTGCCTCTTCCCGTAAACCATCCTCATTCCCCCCAACCACCCTCGCTCTGCCCACTAAAGGAGATTCTCCTTGCCACTACTCGTGTTCCCACCTCTCGTGCTCCACAGCCTACACCCACCCACTTCAGCTCTCCCTTCCACCCCTATACCCCTTATTATACCTTCTATCTCCTGCTGCACCGTTTATCTCTTCCTCCCCACACCCTTCTTCCCCCCCCCCCCCCCCATTTCCCCCCTCCCCTCTTCCCCCACTCCCCCCCTGCATCCCCACCAGGCCATGCGATTTTCGTGGGCGACATCCCAGTGCCAGCCTTTGAGGCGCCTCCAAAATCGTCTCCCTTCCACCTTCGCCCCTCTCCCACTTCCTCTTCCCTCCCCATCTCGCCCCCCTTTATTTCCCCCCTGCATCCCCACCAGGCCATGCAATATTCGTGGATGACATCCCAGTGCCGTCCTTATTTTATGCGCCTCAGAAATCCTCATCCCTCCCCCTCTCACCCCCCTTTATTCCCCCCCTGCATCCCCACCCACCAGGCCATGCGATCTTCGTGGACGACATCCCAGTGCCGTCCTCCTGCCTGTACGCCGCCTTTGCCGTCTCCACGCACGCGTCTGCGCGCATCACGTTGCGCTGCTACACTGCAGCGCTCGCCTCCCCGGGCGTGGTAGCAGTGCTGGACGCCTCGCACCTGCCCCCGGGTGGGGCCAACGTGGGCTCGAACCTCCTGGGCTCGGTTGACCCGCTCTTTGCTGAGGGGCGCTCCGAGTATTACGGCCAGCCGCTGGCTCTTGTGGTGGGTTGGTAGAGAGGGGTGGGATGGGTGGGATGGGATGCATGATGGTGGATTGCGGTAGGTTGGTTTGTTGGCTGGTTGATTGGTGTGTGTGTGTGTGTGTGAGAGAGAGAGAGAGAGAGAGAGAGAGAGTGTGTGTGTGTGTGTGTGTGTGTGTGTGTGTGCTGGATTTGGCTAGCTTTCTTGGCGTTGTTTTTTTTTACGTCCACCTACATATCCCCATGCCAGTTCCTGCTTTCACCTGTCCATGTGAAAAACCATCCGCTTCTCTCTCTCTCCCTGAGCCCCCTCTTCCCCTCTTCCCTGCGCCCCCACTGACTCAACCGTTTCCCCCTTCCGCCCGCCAGGTTGCTGACTCGTACCGCCATGCACAGGAAGGCGCACGCAAGGTGATCTGCACGTATGACTCCTCCCCTCCACCCGCTGCTGCTGCTCACAAGCCAGAAGCAGAACGACCAGCATCAGGACCAACAGCAGCAGCAGCAGCAACAGCGGCTGAATCTGGGTCACCTGCAGGCGAGGCGAGTGGTGGCACTGCCATTCTGACCATAGAGCAGGCGGAGGCTGCCGGGTCCTACTTTCCCCTCAACCCCATGTTCGCCATGGCCCTGCCCCGCCGCGGGAACTTCCAGGAAGCCTTCGACAAGAGCCCTCTGAAGATCACCGGAGCCGAGGTGAGGGATGCTGCATCTTGCTGCGTGCTGCTGCATGGGCGGGTTTGGGTTGATTGCTGCATGCAGCAAGATGCAGCAATCAACCTGTTCATGCAATCATGCAGTCACCAGAGCCGAGCTGAGGCTTGCTGCATGCTGCATGCCGAGGTGAGGGCTTGGGTTGATCGCTGCATCGTGCTGGGCCGCTCTGAATGATGCATCTTGCTCCCATCAGCACTTCTACATGGATCCGCCGCAGGTGAGAGTCACGTGCAGAGATTTGCTCAACTAGTGAATCGTTCGCCTGTGACTTGCTCACATGCTACCTGGAACTGATGCTATAGGCTTTTTTCGAACGGCATCTGTCCTCCATTCTCTCCCCACACCACACACACACATCCAGGTGCGCTCGGGCTCGCAACAGCACTTTTACATGGAGCGTGGGTGGCGATGGCGGTGCCAGACACAGGCGGCGTCTGAGTTGACTAGAAAATCCTCTCATATAGCATGTCTTCCCACCCACCCACCCACACACCCACATCAGGTGCGCTCGGGCTCGCAGCAGCACTTTTACATGGAGCGTGGGTGGCGATGGCGGTGCCAGACACAGGCGGCGTCTGAGTTGACTAGAAAATCCTCTCATATAGCATGTCTGCCCACCCACCCACCCACACACCCACATCAGGTGCGCTCGGGCTCGCAGCAGCACTTTTACATGGAGCGTGGGTGGCGATGGAGGTGCCAGACACAGGCGGCGTCTGAGCTGACTAGAAAATCCTCTCATATAGCATGTCTGCCCACCCACCCACCCACACACCCACATCAGGTGCGCTCGGGCTTGCAGCAGCACTTTTACATGGAGCGTGGGTGGCGATGGCGGTGCCAGACACAGGCGGCGTCTGAGTTGACTAGAAAATCCTCTCATATAGCATGTCTGCCCACCCACCCACCCACACACCCACATCAGGTGCGCTCGGGCTCGCAGCAGCACTTTTACATGGAGCCGCAGGTGGCGATGGCAGTACCAGACGAGGGAGGCACACTCACTGTGTACAGCGCGACTCAGTCCCCGCAGTTCACACAGGAGAGCGTGGCTGCGGCTCTGGGGCTGCCGGTCAGCTGTGTGCGTGTCGTCACTCGCAGGCTGGGAGGCGGGTTTGGCGGCAAGGCGTGCCAGTCGAATTGGGTAATGCAATTGAGCCGGACTGGGAGGGGATTTTAGGGGGGTTTGGGAGGGGGTTGAGGAGTGATCAAGAGGGGAGAAGGAGGGTTGGGAACGGACGGGGAGTGGTTGGAGGATAGCAGGTCAGACAGAGACAGTTCTTGCTATCCAGTGCGATAACTGTGACGTGACTTCCCACCGCTGCATCCCTCTCTTCTTTGTTCTCCCCTCGTCCTTCTCCCTCATTCCACTTCTCTCACCCCCACTCGCCCCTCTCACCCTCCCCACTTCCCTCTTCGCCACCATTCCCCACCCTGCCCTCCCTGTGTGCTCGCAGGTGGCAGTGGCATGTGCGCTGGCAGCGCAGCACCTGCACCGCCCTGTGCGCATGGCTCTGACTTTTTAGTCGACTCATCCCCCCCGCCCTCTTCCCGGTTCTACTCTCCTCACTCATCGTCCCCCCTGTTCTGACTTCAGGTGGCAGTGGCATGTGCGCTGGCAGCGCAGCACCTGCACCGCCCTGTGCGCATGGCTCTGACTTTTTAGTCGACTCATCCCCCCCACCCTCTTCCCGGTTCTACTCTCCTCACTCATCGTCCCCCCTGTTCTGACTTCAGGTGGCAGTGGCATGTGCGCTGGCAGCGCAGCACCTGCACCGCCCTGTGCGCATGGCACTAGAGCGCAAGGCAGACACGGCCCTGGTGGGCGGCCGGCACGAGGCAAGGGTCCGCTACGACGTGGGGTATGACGAGACTGGCCGCGTGCATGCGCTGCGCGTGAGCATGGTGCTCAATGCTGGATGCACTCAGACCATGAGCAACTGGCTGCCGATGAACTATGGGGCCGCCATCACACAATACGACTGGGGCGCACTGCAGATTGATCTGAAGATTGCCAAGTGAGGGGACAGGATGGGATGGGTGGAGGGGGAGAGGGAGGGATGAAGTCTGCTTGGGGGTCAAAGGGTGGGGTTTCATGGGATGTGGTTTTTGGGAGGGGGGGTGAAGGTTTGTGCATTGAAGTTATTGCTGTTTCTGTTGGCGCATGCGGTAAGGGTGGGGCCTATAGTGTTTGCCAGGTTTATTGGGGATGCAAGGTTGCTCATTCGCTATGGCCCTTCTGTCCTCTTTCCATGCCTGCCGCTTGCATACTACCTCTTTCGAACCCCCATCTCTTCCTCCTCTGACATACCAACCACCCCTCCATCCATCCGTCCCAAATCTTCCCACCATTCGCCCCAACTCCTCTCCTCTCCTCTCCTCTCCTCTCCTCTCCTCTCCGTCCCACCATCAGGACCAACCTACCCACGCGAGTGACAGTGAGGGCGCCAGGCGAGGTGCAGGGAGTGCTGGTGGCGGAAACAGTGATGGACCATGTAGCTGCTGCTCTCAACCTAGATCCAGTGCTAGTCCGTGAGCGTAACCACATAACCACCGACTCTCTCCGTGCCTTCTTCCCCCGCGGCTTTCCTCCTGCTGCTCCTGCGGAGGAGGAAAAGGCGGAGGATGAGGGTGCGATCGCAGAGAGAGTGTGGCGGGAGGTAAAAGCCCTCGCCAGCTACAGCAAGCGAGTGGACGCAGTACAGGAATTCAACGCAGCACACAAGTGGCGTAAGAGAGGACTCGCCATTGCTCCAGTGCACTACATGGTCCCTATCATGGGCAAGCCTGCACGGGTGACTGTGTTTGGTGATGCGTCAGTGGTAGTGGAAACCGGAGGAGTGGAGATGGGTCAGGGGCTGTTCACCAAGGTGCGGCAGGCTGCTGCCAACTCCCTCAACCAACTCTGGCTCAGCAGCAGCAGCAGCAGCGGTGGGAATGGCAGTAGCGGCAGGCCCATGGATGGGTATGGAGTTGACGTGAGCTGTATCCGAGTAGTTGAGAACGACAGCATATCCATGGGCAATGCTGGTTTGACTGCTGCTAGTTCCACGTCCGAGGCCTCCTGTGCTGCCATCCAGCTGGCCTGTGACCAGCTCCTCCCTCTTCTGCAAGCCGCCAAAGCAGCAGCAGAAAAGGCCAAGGCGTGCAAGCGCCTGGGGGTGGCAGGCGGAGGACCAGGGGGGATGTTTGGGGGCGGAGGAGCAGCAGCAGGGGTTGATGTGGTGGTGGGGGAGGAGGATGTGGCAAGCTGGGAGGAGGTTGTGGGGCAGGCCAAGGCCATGCGCTTGTACCTGTCTGCTCAGGCTAATTATCAGCCCAAGCCTCCTGCTGGAAGCTTTTTCCTCTCCTACTTCAACTTTGGAGCTGCCGTTTCAGAGGTAATCCATCCATCTTACCTCATGCCTTCTCTTTTATTGGTTCATCCTGCAGTGCATGTCCAGTGGATGCTCTGTGCATGTGCCATCCCGTACATGCCGGACTGTAATAATCCATGCTCCTTCGTCTCATGGACCAGGGACATTAACCTGTGCCTTCTGGCCTCTCCGTCCCCCGCATTTTCCCATCCCTGGCGTGTACCTGTATGGCAGGTGGAGGTGGATGTGGTGACAGGGAGTGTGAGTGTGCTGCGGTGTGATATCCACTATGACTGTGGTCGCAGCCTCAACCCTGCTGTGGACATAGGACAGGTCAGTCAGACACCTTCCCCCCACCGCTCTGCATCCAACCAGCCACTCACTGTTCTTCGAGGAAGAAAGCCTTTGTGGTGGGCGGTACACCTTACAGTCTCTTCTTGCAGAACATCTCTTCTTGCACCAATCTTCTTCACCAGAGTAAGGGTCGTGGCGGCATGGGTCCAGTGGCCACGGCACGCCATCCCACAAGATGAGTAGCACCTCATCAAGCACCACTCACTCTTCCTCCTGTTGCGCCCCTCTTCTCCTCTCCCTCTCGCTCTGCTGCCTCCCTCCCAGGTGGAAGGAGCGTTCGTGCAGGGGCAGGGATTCTTCACGACAGAGGAGGTGGTGGTGGATGAGGCATCAGGCAGGCTGTTGACGGATGGCACGTGGTCCTACAAGGTGCCATCGTTTGACACTACACCTCGCCAGCTCAACGTGTCTTTGCTGCAGGGCGCAGGCAACGACCGTGGCGTGCTCTCCTCCAAAAGTAAACACTCTTCCACATCCTTTCCCCCCCCGCCCTCGCCCCTTCTGCTCCACGGCTCCTCTCCAACCCCCCAACTTCCGTTCTGCACATGACGCTACTTTTTCTTATATTTATTGCGAAGTCCCTTTCACGCTCCATTTCTTCCCCTGTTTTGGTTCGTCTTTGTCACCATTAAGTACATCGGCTGTATCACTTCTCCAAAATACTTCAGCATTGCATCAAGTGCATTGCAGCATTCCATCGTTTGCCATCAATTTATGTCCTCTGGTTGGTAACTATGACTTCTCCAACTCCTGACTCCTCCCACTCTTTCCCCATTCCTCCCCTCGCCTGCTACCCCTAACAGCATCTGGGGAGCCCCCCCTCCTTCTCGCTGTTTCGATCCACTCAGCCATTCGCTATGCCATTGCTGCTGCACGTCGCGAGTTCGCTGACCCCCACACGGAACCTGGTGCTACTGGCAGTGATGAGTTCGTGCGGTTGGATTCCCCAGCCACCATGGCTGTGGTTCAGCAGGCATGTGGTTCGCATATAGTGGAAGCTTACCTGGAGAAGCAGCTTATGACTTCACCTGCTGCAGTATCTGCTGCTGCTGCTGCTGGAGGTACTGGTAACTAGAGTTGCTATGTCGAGGGAAGGTCGTGCAGTAGTATTGGGTGCTGTTGGGAAGGGGCTGCTTCTGAGTACAATGGTATTGGCTTCCAGTCACAAGTATGCGCAATTGTATTAGCTTGCTTGAATTTTGAGAAACCGCATTGTCTGCCTTCTTTGTGTTCAATTATTTATGTGAATAATATCCAGCATTTGTTGGAGAGATGTACCAAGACTTATGGTAGAAGGACTTTTACTGAACAAAGCAATGTCCTTATAACGGATTGATTTTTACAATTCACCACGTGAAACCATCACTCTTGCTCCCCAAATCCCGGTGCTCGATTTTCGACTTGCCCAAACGTTGACGATTTTCCACGGTGATACTGCCCCTGTTGGTGACAACGAACGCACTCCCATTTGCTTTTCGCCTTGCCTCCTCGCATCCGCCGTCGCGCGGCCATGAATCAATTGGAGACTGTCATACTGAAGGACTTGGAGCAATGCACCAAAGATGGGCTTCCTTCTGATCTCCACGACACCCTTTTTTTTGAAGTGCTTCTCACGTATTCGGAAGAGGTTCGGCCTCACCTGGTCTCCAGGGATTTCATACTGGGCGTTTTTGGAAGAATTCAGAAGATTCTTCTGTGTTTCCTCACGGACAGGTATGATGATATTGCTTTCCGACGTCCATTCTTTCACTAAATAATGACTTTGTGCTGCTTGTCATGAGCAATATCAGGAAGCTAAAGAAGCGGAAGTCGACCCCTAAGTGGAATGTCAAGGACATAATGAGCTGTCTGACGCTTCTTCAGACGGCAAGGTGGGACCTTCCATTTCCATCAATGTTTCAGTCCTTGATTGATGGGCTCGTTCACTTAAGCGAGAGTTTCGAACAGCAAGCATTACGATTGATGAGAGTGCAAGACCTGCTATTTGGTATGACTGGTCTGGTTACGTTAATATTTTAACTCCACGTCATAACCTCTGAGCCTGGCCGGGGTTCTCTGCAGAATTGTACAAGTTTGCTGAAGAGTTGGAGATTCCTGTTATCAATGAGTGCAATGCCAATGTGTTGGAATTCGCTGTGCTTCAGCGAGCTCTGTTCGGTGAACATGCCGGACATCACCTGTTTGACTGTGTGTGGGCAGCTCACGAACCGCCAGGTAATGTCCAGACCCATGGACCCTGCAGGACCTGGCGTGAATATCAGTCACCTGCTCGTGTATCCTTGTTGTCGCATTTTCAATCTGGTCCCTTCCAATTGCCAGATATTGTGTTTTGCTGCTTTCAAGTGGCCTTGAAGCTGGTACAAGCGAGTCTCTTTGACATTTCTGTGCACCCATGCCAACGGTTCCCGTCAATTTGGAGGCTTCTGGAAGAGGCATACAATTTGGACGCAGTAAGTACACACGTTTGAAGGGACAAAAGGCATCATGTTTGCAACTTGCCTCTAACCCTGCTGTGGCTATTCCAAGGCTGAATGGCTGGCGTGCATGAAGACAACACTTCAGGGGCTGCTCTCCTCAGCTGCACATGGAGAAGATTTAAGGCGCAAGCAAGTGTTGCTATTTCTGGCAAATGCTGACCTTGCAGACACGATTCTGTTCTGCCTGGTGAAAGTTGTAGAGTGTGGTGCTTATCAAGCGAAGGATGGTACGTATCTTAGCCACTTCAGTATTCTATTTGTATGTCTGCATCCTGACACTTCCTATGCTGCAGGCTATTCACAAGCCTTGGGGCTCTTTGAGAAGATTTTCGAAGCAAAGCCAAGCATAGTTTTCACGTCTTGCTCAGCAGTGTTGGCCAATGAACAGCTTGAAGCCATTCAGTTGCGGCTGGAGTGCTTATCATGTGAGAGTTTTTTGAGTGGTTTGATCGTGCGATGCATTGCTCCAGGACTTACACGCCTTGCATGGGTTGCAGGTTTGGAAAGGCTGGGGCAGCAAGACGAAGCTGCAAACATTTTGATGTGGACACCAGAGGCACGTGCTCACCTGACACATGCGATGCTCTTTGATCCAAGCACAAGAGTTCGTCGAGCTGCTGTTCAGATCCTCTCTGCATCGCCCAATGTCGACCAAGGTACAATGCTGCCTCCTGGAATCCATTGAACATGTGGGTAGTTCTCAAATTTCACCATGATTTCCTGCAGAATTGCTCACATCAATTGCCATCAAGACACGAGACGTTGACAAGAAGGTCAGGCTTGCTGCATTCAGCAGCTTGCGTGATGCTCCCATGGAACTTTTAATTGCCAGCATCACTCCTAAGGAATGGGAGACAGTGCTTCGTTGTGGCTTGTGTGACAATGAGCCCTCCTCGGAACTGAGTGTGGCAGCCAAGGTTAGTTTGGAGCCACTTGCTCCAGCAAGGGGATGTGCATGAGACCTTGGATACGAGTGGTGTGATGTGACCAAGTTTTTGTTGCAGGAGCTTTTATTCAAGTACTTGACATGTGATGACATTTCTGGATTGCCATCAGCCCGCCTCAACATGCTTCAAGGCTTCATGGAGAACTTTGACGAAATTAAGGATGCACTTGAGGACCGCATTGAAGACATTATTGAGAAGGAATTAGCTCAGGTAGAATCAGCAGAGGATCACATGGACAAAGATGACATGGAAAAAGATGGTATGGAACATGAAGAGAGTATGATATATGAAGGCCAGTCATAGGTAATATGTGTTTGGCACAACATGCGAGCAACCTGCTATTTGCTGCACTGGATGCCGATAATATCGCTGTACAGTGAGAATGTTGCCAACCTGAGTTTACAGGAGCTCAGAAAAAAGCACCGGTCGTCGAACGGCATTGGTAAATCCCTGCAAGGCATGAGCACAAAGCACAATGATTGAGGCATCGCCTTGCCATGAAACATGCACAATCACACAAGTGTTTTCGCACCTCATGATACTTGAATGAGATGCGAATAGCCTTTTCAGCAGCAGTTTTGTTGTCAGCACTCTTTATGCCTGACCCCTCATCTCCACTCCGTTGACGAGCAGTTTTAAGCCCACCGTCTTGTTCCACTTTCCTGAAAGTACAAACAAAAGGCAAAGAACAATATCTGCAGCACCTAACAGAAGTTTAAGAAACTCTTGAGTCTGAGCTCCATTCTCCCTGTTCCCACAGATCAGGTTAGCACACATGGCTAACCCCAGTCAACCCTATCATACCTGGTGAAACCCCGAAAGGGTCGTCGTGGCATCTCCTTTACTTTTGCCGGTTTGGTGTCACTTTCTTGCTGAGCACTGCCTGAAGCATCCTGTGGCTTCACAACTTTACTTTCTGTAATGATCCCATTCTCCTTGGCCTTACCATCACCAGTCTGGGTACCTGTGAATGATTGAGATGAAATGGGCAGGACACAACTGAGAAGGTCCAGTGGTTGGCTGGGCAATCAACAAAAGGGTAAAATAAACACCAACGGTGGAGGGTTTTGTAAGCAGCAGTGTGGCACATACCTTTCCCCTTGCTGCTCTGTGGGATACCATTGGCAGCTTGCGGCGGCGCAGCAGCTTGCGGTTGCTGATGAGACTCAGCTGGAGTAGTAGGAGGAGGATTCGCAGCAGGAGCAGGAGGACGAGGAACGGTTGGAGGAAGCTGAGGAGCTGCTGCCGCATTGGGAGTGGATGCTGATTTCACTCGCACCGAGTCCCGCCGGATGCGCTCAAGCTCAATCTGACCAAACACAACGTATATCACACACACGAGGGAAGAACGAGTAAGAATCGCTCAGCAGCTGAAGTTGCTTTGCTGTCATGCTGCAGAATGGTCGGAATGTTGAACAGATGGCAAAAAAAAAAAAAAGGTAAAAAAGTTGGTAGATTCGAGTGATGAGAGGGTGGATAGGAAGGGGAGCCCATCCTGCTCGTGAGCCATTGGCCATATAGAGAGAGTGCAGGTACCTACCTCTCGGCCAATGAGCTGGCGCACTGCTGCAGATATTGACATGACATATGGTGGAGGTCGAAGTCTCTGTAGCAAGGGGGGCAACATGCAGCAATGCGTGTACAGTACAAACGCACACACACACACACACACACCAAGCACACACGGATAAGAAGGGAAAACACACACAAGCAAGAAGCACACATGGAGCCACATGCACATGCACCAGCACTGATTACTAGCCATCTTTCACATTTGCCCTGCCAGGCACCTGTGATACAACAGAACGTGAGAGCGTGCAATAACAACAACAACAACAACAACAACATCCAGACCAGCAACCATGGGCACAGCACAGCACAGCAACGCACCTCAAACACAACAAACTCTGTGAGCGGAGGATCCAGAACAGGCCCGCCCATGTACCCATCACCACCACCAACCCCCCCCTCCCCTCCAGAAGCAGCACCAGCAGCACCGCCAGAAAAGGCACGGCGGTGCCAGGGAAGCTGGTGAGCGTGGCGGTAGGAGAGGCCGTAGTCGAGCATGGTGGCCACGAGCTGTGCGAGAGCAGCCTTCTCCCATGGGGTCAGCAACTGCCCCGCCACCTGGTGGTGGGAGAGTGCAGAGTTGTGGAGAGAGTGAAGGAGAGAGAGAGAGAGGTGGGCGGTGAGAAGGGATAGGAGAGGGAGGGGGGCGAGGAAAGGGAGCGGGAAGGGAGGGGGAGGGGAGAGGAAGGGAGAGGGGAAGAGGGGAAAGGAGGGGGGAGGAGTGGGTGGTTGAAGATCAGGGCAGAGCAGGTATTTCCGGGATAGGGATGTAGTTGAATGAGTCAGCCTTGGTACATGACTTTAAGTTCAAAGAACCCGTGTCCAATGACTCATGACTCATGAACCATCACCCATGACCCATGACCCATGACCCATGACCCATGACCCATGACCCATGACCCATGAACCATGACCCATGACCCATGAACCATGACCCATGACCCATGACCCATGACCCATGACCCATCACCCATCACCCATGACCCACGTCCAATGATCCATGACCTATGACCCATGTCCCATGAGGAAGCGTGAAGAAGAGTGGGGGAGCAGTGCATGAACGAAAGTGAGGGAGCGAAAGCAAATCTCACAGGGCGAATGGGGGTGGCTGAGATGACAGAAAGCAGAGGCGAGACGAGGTCCGGCACTAGGGAGCGCAGGGGAGAGGTGCGTGCTATGGCCGGTAGCATGGCACCCCGCCATGCCTCCACTGTCTCCTTGCGCACTGCATGCTGTGAGCGGTACCTGTTAGAGGGGAAGGGTAGGAGAAGAGCAGGGGGGTAGGGAGTTTGGGGGAGGGAAGGGGCTTTAGAATCGACTCAGAAGCCGCCATGCCTCCACTGTCTCCCTGCGCACTGCATGCTGTCAGCGGTACCTGTTAGAGGGCGCCGTTTGGGTTTGGGGTGCAAGAGGGGATGAGACGGAGGGTTGGGATGAGAGGAAGGGAGGAAAGGGGGGGTCGGAGAGTGGGATGAAAGCGGGGAGGAGGAGGTATGTAGAGAGAGGCAGGGAGGGTAACCAGAGTAAGGAGGGAGACACGAATATTAATCAGAGGTGTCTGGCAGAAGAACATACGAATGGTGCTGATGCAGGAGGACAGAGAAATACTGATGGATCATGAAATGACGGAGGAAGGAGACAAAACCATGGAGGGATAAGCAGACGGACATAACGAGAAAACAGATCAGCGGAGAAACAGAGACACGAGGGTAAGGGGGGTGAGTGTAAGAGACCTGGCATGGGCCTTGGCCATTCTAGTTTTGAGACGTCTCGAAATTGGGTGAGAGTGTGAGAGACCTGGCATGGGCCTTGGGCCATTCGAGGGGGTGTCTGTCTGCCGCACCCATGGTGGCTCGGATGGCGTACATGGCACATGTCTCAAACGCTGCATGTGCACATGGGATGCGGTGGTTTGGGGTGGGATGGGATGGGATGGGATGGGATGGGAGTGGCTGGAATGAGTTGTCACACGTCCTCATGATAGAAGGAATACCAAGATCGGTCGGTATGGGTGTGTTGCTGGGCAACTATCGCACGCTCACTTGCAACGCTCTCTCAGTACACATCGTAACACACTCTCTCTCACGCACTCGACGCATTCACTCCACAACACACGTTCGCTCACAACGAAGCAGAAGGTGGCGCAAGCCACATCTATCCCAACTAGGTGCCTATTAGGTGCCACTGCCACATATCTCTCTCACACACGCGGCCTTACCCAGCAGGGCGAACTGCTGAGAGGCCATAGCCCTGTGATGCCATTGGTCCGCACACACCAGCCAGTGCAGCGAGGATGACTGTGATGTGATGTGCTGAGTCCTTACCACACAGTGCCCTCCCACACAAAGCCCACTCTCTCTTTCTCTCACGCGACCTTACCCAGCAAGGCGAACTGCTGAGACGCCATGGCCCTGTGGTGCCACTGGTCGGCACACACCAGCCAGTGCAGCGAGGATGACTGTGATGTGATGAGATGTCATGAGATGAGCCCAGCACGCAGTTGAGATTGTTTGGTGAGGGGGGGTGTGTAAGAGGGGGGAAGGAGGGAGGGGAGAGAGGTTGTGGAGAGGGAAGCGGGGGTTGGGTATAAGGGTAAGGAACAGGAGGGCAGGGAAGAGGGAAAGGCTAAAGAGATGGATCCTGAAGATTTTGAGAAGAACAATTGGGATCCTGATATTAACATTAACAGGCGGCGTGGCATGTGGTAGCTTGTGTGTGTGTGCGTGGATGAGTGTGTGGCGAGTGTGAGTGCAAGTGCATGTGCGTGTGCATGCGTATGTATGTGTGTGTGCGTGTGTATGCGTAGGTGCGTGTGCAATTGCGTGTGCGTGTGCTTGCGTACGCATGTGCATGTGAATGTGCGTGTGAGTGCGTGTGAGTGCGAGTGCGAGTGCGAGTGCGATTGCGAGTGCGAGTGCGAGTGCGAGAGCGAGAGCGAGTGCGTGCACATGTGGTTTCTGAGGCCTGAGTGGCTGGGCTCAGAGGCTCACAGTCTTGCGCAGAGAGACATCGGAGAGAGCAGCGTGCAATAGGTTGTCGTGAATGCCATCCAGAAGAGTGTCTGATGTGCCGCCACTGCAGCTCAACTCACAGGCATGAGAGGCAGCGAGGGAGAACAAAGGGAGGGGAAATGACGGGAAGGAGAACTTTGAGGTGCCTCACAGCAGGTTGTCGTGAATGCCATCCAGAAGCGTGTCTGTCCGATGTGCCGCCACTGCAGCGCACAGGAAGGAGAGGCAGTGAGGCAGAACGACAGGTAAGTGAGCGGAAGACTTTTGAGTCGACTCAAAAGTCACCTCAAAGGAGAGGCAGTGAGGTAGAAGGACAGGTAAGTGAGCGGAAAATTGAATGGACAGTGACGAGAAGACAAAGAGAAGGCGAGTGGAAGTTGGGGAGAAGGCGAGGAGGAGTGGAGCGGAAGGTGAGGGAAAGGAGAACGAGGGGAAAAGAGCAAGAGGGGGGGGGGGGGGGGGGGGAGTAATCCATGAGAGAAAGAGCAAGAGGAGGAAAATCCATGACAGAAAGAAGAGGTGATGATGGGGCATAACAGTTGGGAGACGAGCTGGATTTTGATTGAGTCGACTCCAAATGTCTCCTCGAGACTCACAGCTGGGAGAAGGAGACTCACAGCTGGGAGGCGGGGGACTCACAGCTGGGAGAAGGAGACTCACAGCTGGGAGGCGGGGGACTCACAGCTGGGAGAAGGAGACTCACAGCTGGGAGGCGGGGGACTCACAGCTGGGAGAAGGAGACTCACAGCTGGGAGAAGGAGACTCACAGCTGGGAGAAGGAGACTCACAGCTGGGAGAAGGAGACTCACAGCTGGGAGGCGGGGGACTCACAGCTGGGAGGCGGGGGACTCACAGCTGGGAGGCGGGGGACTCACAGCTGGGAGATGAGTGAGTCAAAGCGAGAGTAGTGCGAGGCAGGCTGGGATGGCGAGGAGGAGGAATGCAGAGAGGGTGAGGATGCTGATGCTGATGATGATGGTGGTGGTGCGGAAGAGAGAGGCTTGGGGACCGAGCGGAGGGCAGTGGGAAAGAACACCTGAAAGGGGAAGGTGGAAAGGACTAGAAATTGAGGAAGAGGATCAATAGGAGATTGAAGGGGGGTTAGAAGGAGAATGATAAGGGGGTTAGACTTGGAAGGGGCATGGAGGGGGATTAGAAGGAGATAGTGGGTGGAGGGGGAACAGCGCATGGCTGTGGATAACACGAATAAAGACACGAATAACCGTCTAAAATATCATAAGATACATGCATCTCTCACACTCTCCCATCTTCATAGCCAATGCGCCCCACGACCTGCTCTGCCTCCTCCGACTGGCGAGGGGTCCTACTCACTCCGCCACCTCATTCAGCCCATCTCACTCCACCGCACTGCAATCCACCTCACCTCGTTCCACACGTCCATGAGCCCCTTGGTGGCGTCCTTGCGCCCCACCACCTGCTCTGCCACCTCCGACTGACGAGGGGAGGAGGGGGTTGGATGGATAGGGGAGTGAGAGCGAGTGGGAGAGGGAGAGGAGAAAGAAAGAGGTTGGGGGGTAGGGGCGACCAGGGGGTTTTTGAGTCGACTCAAAAGAAAGAGGTTGGGGGTAGGGGCGACCAGGGGGTTTTTGAGTCGACTCAAAAGAAAGAGGTTGGGGGTTAGGGGCAATCAGGGGGTCCCTTGGTGGCGTCCTTGCGTCCCACCACCTACCTGCTCTGTCACCTCCGACTGGCCAGGGGAGGAGCGGGGGGAAGGGGGGGAAGTGGATAGGCGCGGGGCGGAGAGGGAGAGGGAGAGAACAAGGGAGGGGAAGGCCAGCAAGGCTGGGGATTAGAAAGTCATGAGCAGAAGCAGGAATAGGATTGAGGTCAGAAGACAAAGCAAGATCAGCCATGGTTTCAAGGCACCGCAGAAAACGTTCATAAGATGCAATGCAAGGGCAGCAGAGCAGCAGAGGAGCAGAGCAACAGAGCAGCAGAGCAGCAGAGGAGCAGAGCAACAGAGCAGCAGAGCAACAGAGCAGCAGAGCAACAGAGCAGCAGAGCAACAGAGCAGCAGAGCAGCAGAGGAGTGCAGGTGGAGCGAAGTGGAGTAATACCGCTCGCAGTGCCTTGTTCGCTCGGTGTAGGAACTGCAGGGTGTTAAGACACGCCCTGATGTCCCCGTCTGGATCGGTGGGCGTGAGGACGGAGGGACCCGGTCCACGGGTGGGAAGAAGGGGGGTTAGGTTAATGGTGCTGCTGAACGAATGCAAAGAGGACAAGACCACTCATTCATTCATTCATCCAATCATCCACTCATCCACCCATCCACCCATCCACCCATCCATCCATCCACCCATTCATCCATCCACTCATCCACTCATCCACACACCCACCCTCCACTCATCCACCTATCCATGCATCAAGGCATGGACTTCCGTGGATCGCTTTCAGCGCACCTGTCTGTGCAGCCAGGGCAGTGAGCCCCCGCACATCCGCCTCAAACCCCTCCGCCTCACATATGTGCCTCAGCCTGCCATGGGACGCACAGGGGTGCAGAGGGCCACAGAGGCGAGGCGCACAGCGGAACGAAGGGACACACAGGTTCACACCTGGGCACACAGGTACAATTAGTGGGGCGCAATGGGCAAAGCGAAGTGGTGGGGGCCGGGCCGGGATTCCAAAGAGGGATGTTCTGAGAGGGGTGCTGGTGCTGGGGAGCGAGCAGCGTGGAGCGAGAGAAAGAGTGGAATCGGGAAATAGGACGTTGTGAAAGTTGTTTAGTGGAGGGGAGGATGGCTGCAGGTGGAATGCAGGAGGGCTGGGCGGTTTGAAGTGAGACGAGGGATGGATGTAAGACGGGGGGAAACATGGGGAGGAGAGTGGAGAGTGGAGAATCGAGAATGGAGAGTGGAGAGTGGAGAGTGGGGCTACCTTGAGACGACTCTGTTGGTGGTTGGCAGCTGGAACACGTGCACTCTGTGGTCAAGTCAAGACACAATTGCACCCATGCCAATACGCACATGCACATGCACACGCGTACATGCATGCGCACCCAAATGCACATTCATACGAATATGTATAGAACCATGCATAAACAACCATTTGGAGGGTGCGCAGGTGATGAAGAAGGGAATGGGCAGAAGCAGAAGCAAAAGCAGAAGCAGAAGCAGAGGTACTTTCGAGTCAAGTGCATCTGCTACTAAGGGAGTCAATCCGTTGCAAACCCTCTTCTCCCTCGCCTCCCTTCACTCTTCTCCCTCCTCCCGTCTCCCTTCTCCCCTCCCCCCGCCACCCCAACCTACTCTGCCACGGAGCGCAGAGGCCTGAGAGCAGGCGCATAGAGGTCATTGGCGATACAGATGATCTACACATGATTCACCATTATGCACGTGTATGGAAAAAAAAAGGGGGAGGGACGGGGGAGGGAGAAGGGTCGCGAGAAAAGAACGATGAAGGCTTAATTTGAGGTGCATCTAGTACAGGTGACCCCCCAATGGCTTTTGCGGTCGACTCAATCGGTACATACACATGTTGAGATCTCGCAATGACTTTTGCATCGACTCAACCGCAACGTGTTGAGATCTCTCCCAGTGAACAAAGAACCCCAGGCAAGCTGACTAACCGGTCGGTTAAGTCGCTTGAGCTGCACTGCAGCAGCACCACCCTTTCCCAATGCTCTCCTCCTCCGAATCCTCTTGGGCCCGCTTGCTCTAGGCACGCCCTCCTTGCTCACCCTCCTGAACTTCCCTCCTCCTCGCGCCCTCCCCTGCCCGCCCCCCCTGCCTGCCTCCTCCCCATCCGACCCCCCCTCCTCATCCTCGTCGTCGCTCCCTGTAAGAGGGGCGGATGCTGCTGCTGCTGCTGTTGAGGCTGCCGCTTTAATGTCAGCTTGAACCTGGAGAATTAGAAGGGGGGATACATGTATACATGGGCAACGAGCCGAGCCGAGTTTTACTCGGCTCGTCCCCAGGCACACTCGTAAGAGCTTTGTTCTGAGCCGAGTTTTGCTCGTACGAGCTTTTTGCGGGCAAATGCAAACTCGTGACTCGGCTAAATAGCACGAGCTTTTCAAAAGCTCGTTCGTGCTTCAAGAAAAGCTCGTTCGTGCTTCAAGAAAAGCTCGTTCGTGCTTCAAGAAAAGCTCGTTCGTGCTTCAAGAAAAGCTCGGTCAAGCCGAGGGAAGCTCGGCTCGTTGCCATATACATGCACAAGCTTTTCAAAAAGCTCGTCAGCGCAACAAGTGCTCGGCGAATCTCGCCTCGGCTCGGACGAGTTATTTTGAGGGCAAAGCACACTCGCCACTCGCCCTCGAACGAGTGCCTCGTACGAGCCGAGGCGAAAAACTCGCCTCGGTGCCCATGTATAGATACATGGGTGGGGATGTATGGGTGAGTGCAAGTGTGGAAGTGTGGATGTGTGTTGTGTGTGTTGAGTGTCTGTGAGCGTGTGTGCATGGGCTTGTTGTCCCATCACTCAATGACGCTTTCTCCCATCCCACAGCATCATTTGGTGGTGGTTCATTCGCTCATTTATTCACTCGAATCATTCGTTCATTCGTTTGACTTCTGCAGCCTTTCTATCCTCAGGCTAATTTTTTCCTGCCTGTGGGAACAAAGTTTTTGCGTCGGCTCAAAAAGCAAGCTAAGGGAACAGAAGGCAGGGAGTTTGCCGTGGTAAGAGGGAAACGAGAGCAGTAGGAACACAGCAAAGGAAAGCGAGAGACAGCGGGAGGCAGCAGCAGAACGCACCAGTTCAACAAGTGCATCCACAGCGCCGCCTCTCCCCTTAACTTGTTTCTGAGGCGCCTCGAAAGACAAAAGAGAGAGAAAGAGAGCAGGAGGCAACAGCAGGCAGGACGCACCAGTTCCACGAGAGCATCCACAGCGCCTCTCCCCTCAGCTCCTGCGAAGGCCCCATCAATCTCGTCTATCACCTGCCGAGCTCGGACAGAGATGGGATGTGGGAGATGGGATGGCAGGCAGGGGGCATGGGGGTGTGAGTGAGTGAGAGACAGTCTTGCAGGTGAGAGTGATGCTTGCTTGTGGCATGGCAGGCAGATGTGGAAGCGCTGAAACTCATTCGCTCATGCACTACACTCGGCACTAAGTTGCTCTCACTGGACGCGGCAAATGAGAGAGCACGCCAGCCAAAGTTGTGAGTGGGTAAGGAGGCGAGTGGTGGGTGAGCAGGCGAGTGGGTGGGTGAGCACACGGACCAGGCAGTTGGGTCGGGAGTCAGCAGCGCCACCAGGTTTGGAAGGCAAAGCGGAAGAGGAGGGTGCAGAAGCAGAAGCAGGGGCAGAAGCAGGAGTTGCTGAAGCAAGCACGGAGCGCATTTCCACGGCGTCTACAATGCGCTGGCGCAGGGAGGAGGCGACGCGGTCGTCACTGGCGTTGACCTCTACCACTCGGTACCCGCAGTGCCGCGCTGCGACGTGCGCCAGTGTCGTCTTGCCCAACCCGGGAGCTCCGCACAGCAGCAGGATCTGCACCCGCACATGGGGGTCACAGGGGGTGGTGGGGAGGAGAGGGGACGAGGGGAGGAGCGGAGGAGGGGAGGAGGGTAGGCGGGTAAGAGGGTAGGGGGGTAGGAGGGTGGGACGCAAAGGGGCAAAGAGGGGAGGTTGAATGCAGGAGAGGGGCAGTGCAACGGTCGTCACTGGCGTTGACCTCCATCACTCAGTACTCAGTACCCGCAGTGCCCGAGCTGCCACACAGCAACAGAATATCTTCACCCGCAGCACAGCACACATGCGGAGAGGAACACAAGATGATATCCCCATGTGGATTCCCAGATTCCCAGCTCAAGCAATGTTGTTGCGTTATCTGTGAATCCAGATAACGAATAAACCAACTGCAAGGCAGACGCACGAACACACAAATGCACAGACCACTAGGTAAGCCCTTTCACTCAACCCCCCTCCCCATGCATGCATCCATCCATCCATCCATCCATCCATCCATCCATCCATCCATCCATCCATCCATCCATCCATCCATCCATCCATCCATCCATCCATCCATCCATCCATCCATCCATCCATCCATCCATCCATCCATCCATCCATCCATCCATACATCCATCCATCCATCCATCCATCCATCCACCCATACATGCACTCACCCTCGCCTCTGGTCTATCTCCTGCTGTCTCTGCCCGAACCCTCTTTCCCAGCAGACTCTCCCCTCCCATGCCTGCTCCCACGCCATTACTCATGCCACCCCCACCCATGCCTTCCTTCTCATCCCGCCACCCTCTGCCACCAACCATCCCACTGCGCCCTCCCCCTCCTCCCGCACCACCCCTCCCTCGCCATCTCCCTCCACCCTCCCCGCCACCACCCCCTCTCTCTCCAAACCTATCCCCACCCCAAGTCCCACCGCCACCGCCACCGCCACCCCCACCACCTCGCCCTCCCCACCCTCCACGCCCCCCTCCCCCTCCTCCTCCCCCTCCTCCCCACCCTCCACGCCCCCTTCCCCCTCCCCCTCCCCCTACTCCCCAACCTCCCCCCTCGCCACTCCCAACTCCCCCACACCTCCTTCCCCCGCGCCCCCCAGCAAACCCTCCGCCCATCCCTCCAGTCCCCGCAGCAGCAGCGGGCGGGGGGAGGCGGCGCAGAGCAGCGATGGTATCCGGATGAGTGCGGGCGCGGGAGGAGGCAGCAGCAGCGCCAAAGACGCAACGGTCCCACTGCTTGAGCCAGGAGAGAACAGCACGGTTGGTGGGCTCGGGACTGAGCAGGTCTGTGAAGCTACGCGGAGAGTATTTATCCACCCACAGAGACGCCCCTGCTGCCGGTGCTGCTGCTGCTGCTGCTGCTGCTGGGGTTGCTGCCGCTGCTGCCGACGGTGCTGCTTTAGCGAGTGGTTGAGAAGAAGCAGAGGGTGCAGCAGAGGGTGTAGCCATGGAGGGGGAGGAGGCCATGAGGTGGGACAAGCGGAAGGCGCGTTGCAGCTGCTCCTGCTCTGCGTGCTCCATCAGAGTCTCTATGCTCACAGACAGCACTCGCCCGTCCCTGCCATCCCTGCCGGATCTATCAACTCTGTCCGCTCTATCTGCTCGGTCTGCTCGGTCTGCTCGGTCAAATGGGCTGGTTCTGACACGGCAGTACACGCGCTGCCCATCGCTGCCTGTCACGGGCATCACCTCGCCCTCCACATCTGCTGCCACTCGCCGTGCTGCCTTCTCATCTTTGGCTGTCGCCGCCGCCGCCGCTGCCGCTGCTGCTGATGGTGGCGGTGGTACTGCTGCTTTTTCATTTGCTGCTGCTGCTGCTTCCGGGAACGCAGCTTTCTGTGGAATACCCGAATTCACACCATCGCCTCCTCCTCCTCCTCCTCCTCCTCCTCCTCCTCCTCCTCCTCCTCCTCCTCCTCCTCCTCCTCCTCCTCCTCCTCCTCCTCCTCCTCCTCCTCCTCCTCCTCCGCCTCCTCCTCCTCCTCCTCCTCCTCTTCCCCCCACGCCCTCTCGACCCTCGGCTTCTTCTCCTGCTGCACCTCCTGCCACTCCCCCACGCACTGCCTCTGTCGCCTTACCAGCAACCCTATCCCCAGGCCAGCCCGCAGCAGGTATTCGCGAATTATCTACAACCTCACCCCATGAACTGTCCTTCCCTCTTTCTCCGCCTGCCATGCCTTGCACGCCAGCGGGGGGTGGGGGGGCGAATGTGTGTGGCGGTGGAGGTGCTGCCGTGCCTGGAAAGGTGAAGGGACGCGTAGGGCCGGGGGAGAGGGGAGCAGGGAGTAGGGGAGAGGGGGAGCCGGAAGCAGAGGAGTGGAGCAAGGAAGTGGGGGGAGAAGCGGGGTGGGGAGATAGCACAAGAAGGCAGCGAGGTGACTTTTGAGTCGACTCAAAAGTCACCTCGTGGGGAGATAGCACAAGAAGGCAGGATATAGGTGAGGGAGGAGGCGTGTGAAGCCTTCCTGTACCTCCCATTGCACCGGGAGTGTGGAAACCACGACGGACCAGGGCAAGAATACGCCACAGCAAGTACTTTTGAGACGTCTTGAAGCTCAAAGCATGGTAGTGGAGGTGCGGGGACGCCCGTCTCGAAACTACAAGCGTGGTAGTTGAGGTACAGGGAATCCCAAGAGCAAGTGGCGTCGTCATGGCAAAACCATCAGACACCTATGTTGGGTCATTCCGTTACTCCTTTGCCAGTCTTGTTTTCGAGAACTCAGCTCTCGAACGCAACCTTAACACAGCTGAAGTTGAACCAACGCCTGGTCGCATCACATCATATACACCCTAAGGCACTCTTCGAAACGACGCCCAACTTGCTGATCCATCCATCCATCCGTCCGCCCGTCCGTCCGTCCATCCGTCCGCCCGCCCGTCCGTCCGTCCGTCCATCCGTCCGCCCGCCCGTCCGTCCGTCCGTCCGTCCGTCCGTCAGTACAGCACGTGGATCTATTCTCATTCCCCGTGGAGCCATCTCACTGATCCCCGCACTTCCCCTCATCCCCTCCCATTTATCCCGTCCCCCCGCCTCCCCTCTCCCGCTCACCGCGTCCGCCGGCCGTCTGGCCGCGCCAGTCGTCGTCCGGGGGCTCCTCGAACGGCCAGTCGTCGGCGTCCTCGCCGCCATCGTCGCCCGCCATGGCCTGCTGCGCCATCCACTCCAGCTCGTCCAGACTCGGCTCCTCCATCGCTCCCTGCCTGCTCTGCTCTTCGCAAATTCGGTCTTATGCAAACTCTCACAGCCTTATGCAAATTCGGTCGCGGCGAAAAGATCTGTGGTGTTTGCTCGCGGCTGTATGGTGATTGCCAATCGAGACTAAAGACGAAATGGTAAAGTTTTCCGGCGGCTGAAGACTGTACGGTGTCTGCTCGAGAGATACACAGACGACACTCTACCCGCGTTATCCAACGGTCGTTTCGCTCTATTACAGAACGTTCACGCTGCTCGCATTCAACTGCTCCCTCACGCTTCGGACGGACTCGTGCTTCTGTGGGTTGGATGGAACTCGCAATCGAAAGAACCAGTCATTCGAACGGAGAGTGATTGGATCAGAAGTTGAGCAGCAAGTGCAGAGAGTTGCACACAAATCCCAATGTATCCGCGGTAGAAGTCTCACGCAATATGTTGGATTAATATGTTTTTTTTGGGGTGTAAACATATTATCAACTATAGATACATCCGCAGCCGTGACTGTGGATTAATATGCTTTTGTAATGTTGCAGAATAAGAGCATCAAGACCTTGATGCACGGATATAAAAACCACACCAGTATTATTTAATATTTGGAACACATTTAGTATAAACCACGCGTATAATCCACCCTTCGAAGTCTCTCTAGATGCATTCCTTCCAGAAAGAAACCTTCAACACTCCACAACAAACATCCATCCATAAGTATCTCGCCATCTACAGGCCAAACATCTTGCGCAGCGCTGAAAGGCGCTGCTTGCGGCCACTTTCAGGCGTGGATTGCCCAGACTTGGTCGATGAAACCTTCCCATGCGGCGACGGTGTAGCAGGCGATGACGCCACAGCCTTAGACTTCCATGAAGCCATTGGCACAGGTGCTGGTGTTGGTGACACAGGCACTGTCACACCATAACCATGGCCATAACCATGACCAGCATTAACATTCCCCTCATTTTCACCAACCTGCTGTGCTGATAACACATCCCGGAAATGAGTCATTGGTGCAACCCTTGCCCCCCCAAATTCCGGCTTCTTACCTCCAAAGCTCCCAGAAGTGGGAGTGCAGGGGGAGGGGGGAGGCAGCACACCGTGTGTAGCTGAAATGTCTGTGACAATAACAGGAGGCAGGTCAACAAGAGGAGTGCCTGTCTTGGGAGCTGGAGAGCGCAGGTAGCCAGGTGGCTGGGAGAGCAGAGTGAGCTGGGGCGACGGGGGCCTAACCACAGAAAGAGCAGCATTGTGAGGTGGCGCCACTGCTGCTGCTGCTGCTGCTAGCCCTGCTGCTGGCCCTGGTGCTGCTAGGCCTAGCTCCATGGTACCCCGCGGCACCACCATCATCATACGTCTACTAACCGCTTCATTCTCCGCGTCGCTCTCATAATCCTCCCCATCCTCGTCACGCCCACCAGCACACACTGCACCTACTCCTCCTTTGATAGGCTCTGACACCGTATATCGTGGCTGTGGCTGTGGCTGTGGCTGTGGCTGTGGCTGTGGCTGTGGCGCTGGCGCTGCCACTGTCATCCCCTGGTGCGCCGCACTGAAGGAGGGGACGGCAGGTGATGCACGGTAGGCAGCAGCAGCGGCTGCTGCTGCAGCTGTGGCAGCTGCAGCAGCGGCGGCAGGTGCAGTGGCAGTAGCAGCAGCATAGGCAGCAGGGGACTTGGGAGAAGGAGCGCCACCCGGCACGTCAAGACCTGCCCCCACACCTGCACTAGGAGACTGGGCCGAAGCTGAAGCAGAAGCTGAAGCAGAGGCACCGTGCACATGGGCATGGGCATGGGCAGCATGTGCATGGGTATGCACATGTGCATGCGCATGGGCATGGGCACGGGAGGAAGAGGAGCTGCTAGTGGAGCGGACAAGGAAGGCCATGGCACCGCCTACCATGGAAGCCACAGAGCTACCTCTCAGGGGAGACAGCCCACGCGACCTGCTTCCGTGCCTCCTGTGCCCCCCGCCCTTCTTCTGCCCCCCTTCTTCCACCTGCTCCTCCACCACTCGCTCCTGCTCCTGCTGCTGCTGCTGCTGCTGCTGCTGCTGCTGCTGCTGCTGCTGCTGCTGCTGCTGCTGCTGCTGCTGCTGCTGCTGCTGCTGCTGCTGCTGTTCCTGCTGCTGCTGCTGCGTTTCCTGCTCCTTCCCCAGGCCCATCACCACCGTCTGCTGATGCTGCTGCTCATTCTTCTGGTAAATATGCTCGCTAGCGACGTCAGCAATCACTTCTCCATTTGTCAGTACCATTGCTGCTGACAGTGGTCCCTGAGGCCCATAGGCCCCCTGAGGCCCCTGATCCACCACCTGATCTGCATGGGAGCTGCAGCCTGCACCAGAAACAGCCTCCCCCTCAAAGCCATCAGAAACTGCAGCAGCAGCAGCAGCAGCCGTGCGTGAGACTTTCTTTCCAGCATACACACTGCTGCTCAGACCAGGCACCTTTTTCTTCCCCACGCCTGCACCTGCTGCCTTCCCGCCTGCCTTCCCTGCTGCTGGTGAGCACAGGCTCGGTGAAGCGGCCGCAGCCTCGGAATCCAAACCTCCAGCCGAGGAAGCCGAAGGAGAGGCAGGAAAGGGAGCAAAGGCAGCACCGGCACCAGTGGTCGGAGAGGTTGGGAACATCACAAGGGCACCATTCCCGGAAACAAGGGAGGAGGCCTGAAAAGCATCAGTCCCTTCTTTCACATCTTGCTTGCTCCGCACACGCCGGCTCTTTCCACTGCCCTTCCGCCCCCCTGCCTTGCCCCCACTCCCTTCCTCAGCCACCACCTGAGACGTCTTGTCTCCCTTCCTTACAGCAGCAGAAGTAGCAGCAGTAGCAGCAGTACCAGCAGCTGCGGCACTAGGGACGTCAGAGGCAGTAAGCCCTTCCTTAAAGCTGTCTGCCTCAATCAGCGTGGGGAGGGACGTGAACTTTGCTGATCTTCCACTGCTGCTGCACACCATACCACTACCACTGCTGCTGCTGCTGCTCCCATGATTAGTGGTACTGCTGCTGGCATGAGCAAAAGAAGGAGCACTGGCAGTAGCGGCAGCAGTGGCGCTACGGGTGATGGTGCGGCGGGGGGCATGGTTGGACGAAGCACAGGAGGAGGTGGAGGAAGAGGCGGAGGAGGAAGGTGAGGGGGGCGATGAGGGGAATAGTGGTGCTGCTGATGCTGCTGTTCGCACAGGATAGCTGCTGCTGCTGCTTTTGCCGCCACTGCTGCCACCGCTGCTGCTACTACTGTGACGGCGATGCTGGTGCTGATGGTGATGGCGGCGGTGGTTATGCCCATGCTCGCTTCCTCCAGCTCCTGCTCCTGCTCCCCCTCCTGCTCCTGCTGCCTCTGCTGCCGCTCCAACAACACCCCCTCCCACATTGCTCCCAGTGCCATCAACCCCATTCTGCGCACCACCCCTCCCGCCACCAGCACCGCCGCCAGCACTGGCACCAGCCCAGTCACTAACACCAGCACCAGAACTCACCATGTTGCTCTTCAGAATCACAGCAATCTTGCTAGCCACTGCTCCTCCCGCCGTTGCACCTTCCCACGCGCTGCCATTGGCATTGCGCTGATGCAGCGGCTTTGGCTGCTGCCTCGCCTGCTGCTGCTGCTGCTTCTGCGGCTGCGGCTGGTGATCAACAGAGTGCTCCCTATGCTTGTCTTGCTTCTCCATAGACCTCTGCTCCCCCTGCTTCTGCTGCTTTCCCCCCCCTTCTCCACCACCACCACCACCACCACCACCAGAAACGGCAGTCACAGGGGGCGCTGCAGGGGATGCTGCGGCACCAGCAGTAGCGGCGGCAGCCGCAGTGGCAGCAGCAGCAGCCGATGCACCAAGCTTTCTCATAAGGTAGGCAGTCACTGGAGAGGATGCAGGGACGGGGCTATCTGTTGCCATAGAAAGCACGGAACCAGTACCAACACCAGTTCCAATCGGGGCCAGACCAGCACCACCAGCAGCGGCAGCACCAGCAGCTGCAGTTCCCTTGGTGTGTGCAGCAGTAGCAGCAGGAGATGTTGGGGAGGGGGAGAGAGGGAACTTACCGTTGGCAGCAGCAGCAGAGGAAGGGGACGAGGACGAGAGGCTTTCTAGACGAAGGGTGGAGGGCAGAGAGGGAGGGAGCAGGAAGGAGCGGGGGGACGAAGGAGGGGAGGGGCGGATGGGCAGGCGAGAGGGCAAGGGAGAGGCGGAGGCAGAAGCAGTGGCAGAGGCAGGGACGTAGGAGTAGGCAGAGGAAGAAACAGCCGCTTGTGTGGTTGGTGCTGCTGCCGCAGCTGCCGCTGCTGAAGCGGCCTGTGCCTTGGCCACAGCAATCGCAGCCACTGCTGCGACTTGTGCTGGGTCTGGAACAAGAGGCTTCTTGTTAGAGCTAGAGCTGGTAGATGCATTGGACAGGGACCGCACAAGGCCCGGTAGTGCTGCTTCTGCTCCTGCTCCTGCTCCTGCTCCTGCTGCTCGTTTCGAAGGAGAGGGGTTTCTACTGGGGGAGGCGTATCTGCGTGGCATCTCCACAGTGCCCAGGGAGAGCACAGCAGTAGACGCCACTCGCTCTACTGCCACAGCTGGGGGGGTCATCACCGTACGAGCTATCACTGCAGCAGCTGCTGCCGCTGCGCCTGTTCCTGTTCCAGCAGATGGGGAGAGGAGGAAAGGAGGAGCTCGGGGACTGGAGGGGAGTGAGGAGGGACGGGAGGGTGAGGACTTGCGGGGAGAGTAGCACCAAGGGGGGAGCAGGGGAGAAGAGGGGGAGACCGAGGTGCTGTGCTGGTGGCTGGGTGCAGGGGTGCAGGGCTGCTGCTGCTGCTGCTGCTGCATGTCTTTGTTGCTGTTGGTGTCGGTATGTGAGGCAGATTCCTTCACCTGGTGTGTGGCAGGAGAATGCAGAAGCACACCGCATGCACATACACATACACATACACATACACATACACATGCACATACACATACACATGCACATGCACATGCACACACATACACATGCACATGCACATGCACACACATACACACACATACACATGCACATGCACACACACACATACACATACACATACACATGCAAATGCACACAAACACGCACACCATGCACACACAGACAGAATCAGAGTTGAGGGAGAGAGCAAGGCATGGAAGAGGGCGACAAGGGGGGGACAAGAGAGCGACAAGAGGCCACCACCAAGCCACCAGCAAGCGCTACATCACCACCCACACAGACTCCCCCCACCGTACCTTGCACACAAGCCTCTTAGTCGCATCCTCCTCCCCTCCCTTGCCCCCTTCCACACCGCTGTTGCTGCCGCTTCCACCGCTGCTCCTCCCCTCCTCCCTCCCACGCCCACCACCACTCTTCCTCTCTCCACTTCCTCTCTCCTCCATCCCATCCCATCCCTGCTTCCTCCACTCCTCTTTTTCCCGCCCACCTCCCTTGCTGCTTTGCTCGCCATTCCCAACCATAATCTCTGTTCCCTTCTCTCCCTCGTGCATTCCCCCCTCTCCCTCCTCTCCCTTCTCCACCCCCATACCCTTTTTCACGTCAATCCACTCCGCAAAACTCCGCACTGTAGCATCTGTGGGTTGAATCTTCCTTCCCCCCACCGCCGAACCCGCACCACCAAACCCCCAGGTTCGCGCGCTTCCAAACCTGGGTGACCCGTCCGAACCTGCAGACTCGGGAATGGGCGATGGGCTTCGCGAATTGTTTCGCGAGTTAATGCTGCTCGTTCCCGACCAATCGTTCGTCCACGCGGCCCATTCACGCGCGGCGGAAGGGGAAGCCATTGGGGAAACGCTTCGCCCCCTTGGGGTCTGATCCCCCGCGCCCGCGCCTTTTCCGCCAAAGTTTCCGGCACTATCCGTCGAGTCGAACGGCAGCGAAAGCGCTGGCGTAATTGTTACCGCGCGCGGAGAGCGAGGCGGAGAAGGGAGAGGAGATTTGCGCAACACGGTTTCCCCAACTCCACCGCCATCCAGACTCATCTGCTCCATCTCTCCGCTTTCCTCCCTAAAAGCTCCGCCAGAACTCCCCCCAAGACTCTTCCGATATCCGCCGGGGGACGACCTTCCGCCCGCTCGGCGCCACCTCCGCGCCACAGACACGGGCAGCGCCGCGGCGGCTTCCGACTCCGCGGAGGAATCTCCGCCGCTGCTGCTCTCCCCGCCGCTTCCGCCGCTGCTGTTGTTGCGACTGGGCCCGCTGCTGCTGCCGCTGCTGCCGCCGCTGCTGCCGCCGATTTTTGCGCTGCAGTCCTCGCGCGCGGACGACGACGACGACCCGAGAAACACGCCACCTGCGAAGCTCCGCAGGTCCCCGCTCGAGCTCTGCGATCCGTGCGATTTGTGCGAGCTGTGCGACAAGCCTCCCGCGCTGTGATCAGACAACAGTCCCTTCTCTTCCGCCACCTCTGTCCCTGATACAGCTCCCGCAAATGTTCCCCCTCCCCCTCCCCCTTCCGCTCCGCCTCCCCCACCATCCGCCGCCGCAGCTGCGCGCGCGGCAGTCTCCAATTCCGCAGCAGCAGGGCCGTAGAAGCTTCCCGAGTCCGAATCGTCCGATGCGCCCGAAGGCCAAAACGCGCCACCGCTCGCTCCGCAATCACCTACAGCCACGTTCACACCCCCGACCCCCCCGCCGCCGCCGTTGCCGTTAGTGCCACCACTCCCTTTTACCTCGGCCACTTGCCCGTCGCCGTTTCCGCCTGCTGCCCCGGCTGCTTCCCCCTGCCCCGCCATTCCGCCACCGCCTGCCACATTGCCGCCGATCCGTGCGCCGCCAACCAGCGTGCGCCCTTCAGTTCGCCCGCGCGCAGCGCGCCGAGCCGGCTGCCTCCACCGGCTACCCCCGCTCCCGCTGGTGCCGCCGTCGCCATTGCCGCCGCTTTTAGCGACGCAGTTTGTGGAATTAGCGTTCTCGCCGCTAGTATTACCTGTCTTAAGCGCGCTTCCCACGCCGTCCGATTTCGCGCCGGTCGTATCCGCGCCAGATGCGCTGCCTTTAGCAGCACTGCCAAGACCAGGAGCAGGAGCAGGCGCAGCAGCAGCACGTGTAGCAGTAGCGGCTGCGGCGGCGGCGGTTGGGTGTACTGCTGTTGCGGGGACGTGCGCGATCTCGTGTTGACCCGTGGAGTACAGCTGATGCGCCTGCGCCTGTTGCTGCGCCTGCGGCTGCTGCGGTAGCGCCTGCTGCTGCAGCAGTGGCAGCGCGTGCGGCGGCGACGGGGACGTGCCCGACGAAGCCAGAATGATCTTTGAGAGAATTGCCTGAAGATCGCCGCCTCCTGCTGCTGCTGCCGCCACTGCCGCTGCCGCCGCCGCCGCCACTGCTTGCTGCTGCTGCTGCTGCTGCTGCTGCTGCTGCTGCTGCTGCTGTTGCTGCTGGTGCTGCTGGTTAGCTAAAGTGGCAGCAGCGACAGCGGCGGCAGCTACATCGTGCACCGACATTCCCCCCATCGGCGGCATCCCGCCGCCCAGCCCGCCTCCCCCGCCTGCCGCGCCACCGCCTTGCGCTCCCTGCGCCGCCAGCTGCTGCCGCACTCCCGCCAATATCTGCGCGTACATAGCGGAGCGGGGGGACTGGGGACCACCCGTCGCTGCGGCAGCGGCCGCAGCCGCCACAGCTGCCGCCGCCGCCGCAGTGGCGGCGGATGAGGCGGAAACGGGGTAGCCGCCGTAGCAGGGGCTGTTGGGCGCAAGCGCACCGAGCATGCACGCCGTCGACGAGAGCGAATCAGAGTGCTGCAGCGAGAACCCGTCGAGCGAGTCCACGTCATCGCGACCAATCAGGGAGCGATGCGCGGCGTACGAGTACGCGCCGGGAGACGCGGCGGAAGATGTGCCGAAGGACGCGCACGCAGAAGGCGAACCGCCAGAGGCAGAGGAAGGTAGCGGCGACAAGGACCGCTGGCGCTCGTGATGGTATTGATGAGCAAGCTGAGAATGAAGAGACTGATGAGAAAGGTGAGAATGATACATGTCCCGCTCCCGTTCCCGCTCCCGCCCCGCCCGCTCGCTCGCTCTCTCCTCCTCCAGCGCTACCGCCAGATCACGTTCCCGTTCCCGTTCCCGCTCACGTTCCCTCTCCGCGCCGTATCTTGCGCCGGGTGCGGGGCTCGCGCTCCTGCTGCGGCTCGTCAGCGCTCCAGCGCCGCCCCCGGCGAGGCCGCCGCCAAAGCCGCCGCTGTTGCTTCTTCCGCTGCTGAAGTCCCCGCTGATTGTGCGGATCAGCCCCCCTCTGCCGCCTTCGCGCAATCCCGCCGAGCTTCCGCTGGCCGTGCGCACGAGCGTGGCTAGCGCCCACCCCCCGTGCGCGGAGGAGCTTCCGCCGGGGACGGGGGACGCGGGGCGCTGGGTGTGCATGACGACGTCTCCCGGCAGCGTCGGCGTGACGTGCGCCATGGGTCGCGGGGAGACGTTCTCTTGGTGGAAACGCAGCAGCGAGAAGAGACAGACGCAGGCGGACCTGCAGCGGGGAACGCGGGAGTGACGGGACGGGGGAAAGCGGGAGTGGGCGGACCGGGAGAAGAGTTAACGAGGGAAGAGGGGAATTGGGAAAGGGTCAGCAAACGAGGAATTGGGAGAGGGTGAGAGGGGGAGAGGGTGTGGCAGTGGGTAGGGGGAGAAAAATGGAGAGCAGACAGGAGCAGAAGAGGCGCGACTTAGAAGCCGGACGCGAACAATCACCATGAACCCTTCCCTGTTCCCCTTATCCCATTCTCCCCTTTTTTTCCCCCAATTAATCCTTCAAGTCTTCCCTCCCTCCACCTCCCCCTCTTTCCCCTTTCCCCCCGTGCCGACCCTTCCCCCCTTCCCCGTGCCGCGGCGCACCGGAAGCGCGGCATGCCGAAGCAGTCGGCGAAGGCGAGCAGCGACGGCAGGTGGTCCGCCGTGAAGCCCGCTGCCTGCGACCGCGCCACTGCCACCTCGCGCTCGCGCTTCAGCATGCCGCGCCGCGCCTCCACGCCCCGGCGGAGACGCCTACGGAAGCGCGCGGGGAGGGGGGAGAGAGGGAGGGAGGGGGGGAGAGTGGGGGAGAGTGAGGGAGAGTGGGGGAGGGGGAGTGAGGGAGAGTGGGGGAGGGGGAGTGAGGGAGGGAACAGACAGAGGGACACAAAAGTGAGCACACGGGGCACGAGGCGGTTGAGAGCGGTTTCGCAGCAGCGCCCGCACGCAGGGAGAACAAAAGCGGCGCATACAGACGAGAGCAACACGCATGCATGCATTCGCACGCGTGCATGGCTGCAAAACAGCAAACAGGCTTCCTTACTCGACTAGCTCGGCGTTGGTCTCTGCCGTCTCGAGCTCCCCCAGTGCCTGCACGAGAGAGGAGAGGAGGGGGATGGGGAGGGAAGGGGAAGGGGAGGGGAAGGGGAGACGGGAAGAAAGGCAAAAAAGGAAGGACAGGGAGCCAGTAAGGAAGAGATGGGGAGCAGGCTGACGAGCACCAGAGCAGGGTGCGGAGAGCAACAGGGGGAGGGGCATGGTGGGGAGTGGAGAGCAGGGCGGAAACCGAGAAGGGTGAGTGAGCGGGGGAGCAGGCGAGGTCTGAAAGTGCGTGTGTGGATGGATGGATGGGTGGGTGGGTGGGAGGGAGGGACGGAGGGAGGGAGGGAGGGAAGGAGGGAGGGATGTGGCAGGCATACCCGCATCTGATCTCGGATGGGAGACGAGGAGCGCGACGACGACCGTGGCGCGCGCACGGGCTGCGGGGAGGCGCGGCAGGGGGAGCTGGGGCGGCTGCTGCGGCCACTGGGGGGGTCTGGTGGCGGGCGATTGGGGGAAAGGGCAGTAAAAGGGAGCGGGGACAACGGAACGTGGTGTGAGAGAGGGAGAGGGGGGATGCGAAATGGCAGGAAGAAACGTGAAGAACAAAAAGAAGTTGGGAGATGAAGTAATTCGGCCAGCACAAACAGAGAAACGCGTTCAAGTAACGAGGAAGGAAACCGAGGATGCGTGGAGTGCCACGTGGCATGTGGACGTTCGTACCTCCTGGAAGCTGCGCTTTGTCAGAAAGCTGCGCCCCGCCACGAAGGAAAGGGAGGGGAGGAAGGGAAGGGAGGAGAGAAGGAAATGGGAAGGGGGTTGAGAGACAGGACACAAAGAAACGCAGGAGCCAAGATGCAATAGGTGAGAGGAGAGAGGGGAGAGGGGAGAATGATGTGCCGCCACATGGCAGCAGCACACACATGTGCAAGGAAAGAGTGGTGGCGGGGAATGCGGCAGCGCAGAATCCGTTACCCGCACACAGCATGATCGCGTGGGAAAAAAAACAAACAGAAGGAACGGACAAACAGATAAACGGAGACGGAAGGAAGGACGGACTGACGGACGGACATAAGGGGATGCAAGGAAAGTGAGCGCAAGGCAAGGGACGGGACCAGAGCACACCATGCAGGCAGCGTCGTGAAGGTCGACTTCCGTGCTGCGCTGCAGGGACTTGGTGAGGCTCGTGATCTCCTGTGTGATGGCCACGGCTTGCTCCAGTAGCGCGGGCGAGTTTATGAAGCGTAGCACTCTGCCAGAGCGACGGAAACGTAAAACAGGCAAGGAACGGAACGGAACGGAAATGGCAGCGTTAGCGTCATCGTCGGCGGCGGCGGCGGCGGCGGCGCAGCGAAGCGAAGCGTAGCGTAGCGGAGTGAAGCATAGTGATTGACGAAAACAAACGAAACGAGCGGGGTTGCAACGAAAGTGGACGCACCGTTGCAGAGTGCCCTTGGAGAACCACGCGATGGCGGCGGCGGCGGCGGCGGCGTCCTCGTTACTCACGAACGGCGCGCGGAACAGGCGGTGGTACGGCGCGCACTGGCGGGGGTCCATAATCACCACGTGCGCGCCCGCGGCGATTTCGCGCTCCACCGCTTCGATGTGCTGCGCGAGCGGGCGCAGCAGTGCGACGCATACGACCTCCACTCGCCCCGCTGACGACGTCACCACCTCGCATCTGACGGTTGGGCGTTACACGGGGAGAGAGGGCGTGAGTGGGAGAGAGGGCGTGAGTGGGAGGGACGGCGTGAGTGTGAGAGACGGCGTGAGTGGGAGAGAGGGCGTGAGTGGGAGAGACGGCGTGAGTGGGAGAGAGGGCGTGAGTGGGAGAGAGGGAGTGGGAGAGACGGCGTGAGTGGGAGAGACGGCGTGAGTGGGAGAGACGGCGTGAGTGGGAGAGAGGGCGTTAGTGGGAGAGAGGGAGTGGGAGAGACGGCGTGAGTGGGAGAGACGGCGTGAGTGGGAGAGACGGCGTGAGTGGGAGAGACGGCGTGAGTGGGAGAGACGGCGTGAGTGGGAGAGACGGCGTGAGTGGGAGAGACGGCGTGAGTGGGAGAGACGGCGTGAGTGGGAGAGAGGGCGTGAGTGAGAGAGACGGCGTGAGTGGGAGAGACGGCGTGAGTGGGAGAGACGGCGTGAGTGGGAGAGAGGGCGTTAGTGGGAGAGAGGGCGTGAGTGGGAGAGACGGCGTGAGTGGGAGAGAGGGCGTGAGTGAGAGAGAGGGCGTGAGTGGGAGAGAGGGTGAGGGTGAGAGAGGGGAGAGGTGTGGGGAGTGAGAGGGGTGGAGGGGGAGACAGGAAGAGAGGGGAAGAATCGGAGAGCCGATGACGGTAGGAGGAGAGCGACGGGTTCAGCAGGGCACGAGTGCGCCGAACCCGGAAGCCGTGCGCATCAGGTGTCGGTAACCATAGCGGCAAACGATAGCTGGTAGGGGCGCATCAGGTGTAGGGGGCGGTAACGATAACCGTAAACATGGCTAGAGTAACGGCCCGGCGTTATGGCCGCGGGGTACGGGCATCACTAGCATTGCATGCCTCCAATTCTCACCCCTCGGGGCGTCTCTCTCTTGAATTTGGGGCAAATTCGAAATTCTTTTATTCTCTTTTCTTTTTTCTTCTATTGTCTGGCCGAGAGCGAGCATGAGGCTCGCGTGGTGCTTCGGCAATCTGATCGCAGCATCAAATGGAGGTAGGCGGATCAGCCAGAGTGGTTGGCTAACGAGAGTCAGGAGGGAAACGGAGAGCAACGAATAATAATCAGGGAGCAAGAGCTGAGGGAAGGAGAGCAGGGAGAGAGGACTAAACCTTGTTCTTGTGGGGTTGAGCTTTAGAACCACTTGATCCAGCACCGTCGCAGCAGGGCTGCAGTTACCCCCTCCACAGCCCGCCATCCTGCTGTTGTCCTACGCCCCCCGCAACGAGCAGCTAAGGAGGGGGGCTTCTCGAGACTAAGGACGTCTCGGCGCGGCTACTAGCTAGCCATGGCCGACGGAATCCTATGATGCGATGGAATTCGAATTCCTGATCTTGGTAACACGGGGGAGTACGAACTGGTGGATGATGATGCTGAATTCTGAATGCAGGAGACGCGATACTATGAGGCTAGGGAAGAAGGAGAGGCAGCCGAGGAGAGCGGAGAGAGCTGGTTCGGCTGACAGGGGCGAGAGACAGGGGCGGGAGAGTGGAAAAGGAGGGAAAGCTGTTGAGGAAGCGTGCGCCTGCTACTGCTGCTGCGCTCGTTCCAGAGGCGATGACATCGGGACTCTAGACTCGGGAGGAATGACGATGATCAGTCATGTCGAGGCTAGAGGTTCGAGAGGCTGACAGGATGACGCGCAAGGACTGGAAAAGTTGGTGATGCGTTGGGGCCACCACGAGGGAGGGAAGGGAGGAACGATGAGGCTACCCCCCCGCCCCGCTCGCTTCGGGGCTTTCTGCTGGGCTGGTTCGGTTTGGGGTAGTCTCGCGGTTGCTGTAGTTGCCGCCTACGTGATGCTTGACAAGAGGAGTTGGCCGTGAGCTGCTGCAGCATTCCGAATTTTGCTCTTTACACTACAAATGTCGGAACGGAAGCTGGGAGCCGAATGTCGAGTCAACCGCTGGTCTCCCTTCTCGCCTTGGTCCCTCCTTGATCCGACTTCAAAGCAAGCTCCGCATCATGCTGTGGGCGGGCGGTGTGGTATGGTATGGGATGGATGGCATGGCAGCATGTCGCCTGCACTCTCTGTAACATAATACGTTTTCCCCATCGCGCATGAATGCCGCTGACCGCGTTTCGCGGTTTTGAATAGGAAAATATTTTCGAGGCCCGCCTGTTACCAACCACCACACAAATCCGTCTTTACGGCCCACCCAAAAAGAAAATTACTTTCGATTCCGGACCCAAATGAATGGGCTGGTTCGGTCACTGCTTGGCACATCCGTCGCACCGCATGTCGAATGGGTGTATGTGCGTGGCGCTTATGTGCAAGGAATGCTGGCAACTGTATGGCACGACATTCGAAAGGCCGTCAATCCCGGATGCTGAAGACTTGTTGGCGGGAAACGCGAGACGAGCCGCTTCTGCGCGAAATCCGTGGTGCAAACCTGATCTTCGCGAGCTCACTGGCTGTGGTTGCGAAACTCCGAGCGAAGCGGGTGCCAGTATCACGTCGCAGGCCCGCAGCTTTTTGTTGTGCCTTGTTGACAGACTTGGCTCCGCATTCTTGACACTGTGACACGTTGACTTGAGATGACATGAGATGCCGCGCGGTCAAACAGTGCACTAAAGGACAAAATAGCATGTCCCTGAATTCATGTCCTTGTAACTGCATGATTCGATTAGCGTGTATGCCAAAAGTGAACTGACGATCGATGTGTGACAGCACAACTCATAATGAGCAGGTTGTACGAAAGCAACTTAATCAACAGGTGTATCAGCCATGAATGAGTGGATTTTCAGCATCAGTGGCAGGCAAGAATGAAGGTTCTGACCTCCATAAAAGAAATATAGCAACCAAGTGATAGAAGGTGATGAATGACTATATCAACTGTACCCTCATTCTAATCTCACCGCTCCCCACATTATACCTAAGGACTCAATTCAAACTGGTTGTATTTCTAATGCACGAACCTTGCTAATGATGCCCTATATTGATCCAGATCGTGGCTGGAATGGAGGGGGGGGTGGGCAGAACACACTCATAAAAAGTCTGGCTTCTCCCCGGACAGAAGCCCACCTGCCACGCAAATCTACCACCACGCTCCATGGAGTTCTTATGCATAAACTCCTCGTTCACACCGCCAGCCGATGCACATTCTCCTTGTCCTTCCTCGACCCAGCACCACCATGGCCCGCGGTGCTGTTGCTGCTGCTGTTGGGTGCACGCAACACTTCCATCCATGCACCCTGCGACCCTTTCGCCTCACTGCCGCTGCCGCCATTCTTATTTCCTCGTCCACCCTCGTTCCCGTTCACATCATCCAGCTCCAAGCGTCGCTGCTCGCCGGTCTTCTTCCCTGCCTCCGCGCCAGTCAATTCTCCGCCCTCGTTCTCCCCCGCACCGGTGCCCAATCCGTTGCTCGGGAGTGCTCGCCGTAGGAGGCGCAAAGATGCTCGGAACGACCGGGAGAACAGGCCCTTGCTGCCCTTGCTCTCTCTCCTACGCTGCTCGCCATCCCCTCCTGTCGCCTTGCTCTGCTCTGCGTCGCAGTCAGCCTCCGGCCGCGCTGTTCCTTCTGGGATCTTCCCAGCCGCCGTCGCCGCCGCCGCAGCAGAAGAGACCATCGTTTCCGGAGCTTCCAGCGTCACCTCCTTCACCACTTCTTCAGTCGGAACTGATACCTGCGCTTCCGACGCAACAGTTATTCCGTTCTCCTCCGCGAGAAGCGACTCGGCAGCGGCACCTGCGGCGCTGAATGCGGCGAGCTCTTCTTCGGTAAACTTGGAAGCGTCGTTCAGCGCGGAAATAGATTTCACCCCGTTTACCGGGCCAGCGCGAGCGTCCTTGCGCACGTGCGGCTTGCGCTTTGCGCCTGCTCCCCCGGAAGACCCCTCCGCATGCCCGTTCCGGTAAGGACCCGTGAAGGCCCCTTTCTGCGATTTCATCGGACCGGAAGCGGAAACAGAACTGGCGGCAATGTCGTTGAGAGGGCCGGACGTGCCACCGAGAGAGTTGCGATGAGAGAAGGACGAGCCGTGGTTGAGCGGCAGTGCGTAGTGTGGTGTGCGTTGCTTCGGCTGAGGCGACTGGTGTCTGGGCACGTCGCTGTGGCGACGACGGGAGAGGTCGCTAGACGACAGAGACCGCGTGAGACCGGGCGACGTCTGGGACGCTGCGGTCAGGGCAAGGAAACAAAGAAAGCGGTGGAGAAAAGGAAACGTGAAGAAGAAGAAAAAAGTATTTGGAACATGAGTTACGGCATAGTGTGACTCACCTAGTGATTTTGCCAAGCTCGCGCGAGAACACAAGTATATCGTAACCGCAAGATTCAAGGATGGGGTGGCGGGTTTAGAGGCTATGAAAATAGGTGGATGGTGAGTCATCGCTACAATCACGCACCCATGGACGGGCCGAACGTGATACGCGGATTGTTGTCGCCCATCATTCCAGAGCGCGCTTCCCGAAGCTCCTTCGCCCTAGCGAACTGCTCCTTACGAAGGGCTGCATACGCGGAAGGATCAAACTTTCCGCTGGCTGAGGAGGACGATGATGGCAACGCCATAGCTGACTCGGTGGGAGCACCGCTCTAATTCAGCAGCTGAATGTCTGCTTGTTCGACTAGCCTAGGAGACAAAGCAGGAGATAAGAAGACGGCACAACTTAGAATCAAGCGATAGTCCCAAGGATAAGCTACCGAGCAGTCTCTGAGCGATTAGATAGTTCGAGGCGACGTTTACAGCAGTATCGCGACATTGGGCGCGGAATGGAGTGGTGGAGTGACAGGGATGGAGTGCAAAACGAGAATGAGCAAGGCCTGGGTGGGCTGAAAAAGGGCTTGGAAGTGAACAGAACAGTGGGAGCAGGTCGGGTAGAGGGAGGTGCGGAGATGAGCAAACCCAGCGCCGAAGCGCAATGTTCGAGGATGCTCGTAAGGGGCTAACGCGACGCGTCCGGCTAATAAGTGTGGCTCGGGAGAGGGAACAGCAAACCAAGGTGGGCTGCTGCTCTGGTCCAACAGTGTGGCACGAGAAGCTTGTTACAAGTGCCTTGCCGAAGCGGGCGAAATGAATATCGGTGACGTGTCACACTGAGTGAGGTCAAGTCCGGGTGGCCTGCTCCGCTTCGCCCGGACTTCCAAGCCATGTGGGTTCGGCTCGCCGAGGCTGACGGTGACGCTGAGGGCGTGCGACTGCTCGGTTTTCTCGCCGAGCATGTCGCTGGTATTCTGCAAAACCAGCAAACCATTGGTGGTCAGGTACACCTTATTGTTCCATTGACACTGGCTCTTCAAAATAATTCCTCTTCGACTATTAACTGTTAACATGGAATTCGTTAATGTAACTATCTGAATCCCAGCCACTAACCACTGGGATAAATGGGATTGTTTGTGTAGCGGGTGAGTGCGCCCATAATTCCCCAGGCCAACGTGCTTGTAACCCTTCCCTAGGATCAATCTGGGATCACCAGTGGACCTTCGACAGTAACAATCAGTGTATGATTGAATAAAAGCAATAGAAACGCTAATATTTTAAATTACCCACCGTATACGTGAGTCCTGTGTTTTTTTTTTGTTTGGTCGAAATTTCCTTCGATTCACAAGACTAGTGAAATTGCCTGTTTGAATGTTGTTTCCGCCCTCTTGTGCAATTATGTCAACGTATTGGAATAACCGAAATTTTATGATAACATTCCTGAAGGATCCCGATCAATGCGTCACTCCATAACGGAACAATGCACTCTACCAGTACCGCAGTAGCTCATATAGAGCATGCGAAAGATCGAGAGTCATCCGAAGGTCAACAGTCGAATACAGTCTCAACGGTCGTGACTCTTGACCGTCCAGTAACCGCCCAGTAGTTACACGCTGCAACATAGTAACCATCGAGAAGAGCAAGTTGTTACGAAAAGTAATACTTGAATATTACTGTGCACTCCTCACCGTAGCAAAGCCGAAGCACGCACTATCGAGAGTGAAGATGAAAAGGCAGAAGAAAGGCGAAGGGACAGACAGTTACGAGGAGCATCTGGACCGTCGGGCAGACACCATCAGGCAGCAGCAGTGGCGAGGATTCTGCCCGAACAGTTACGTAACCACTCGGAGTCGCACGGTTGGATTTCGCTGCAATAAGGGAATTGTCAGAATCCCAACCACTAAACCATTGGGATAAAAGGGCTTATTTCAGTAGCGGGTCAGTGCGCCCATAACCCCCCAGGCAAACGCGCTTGTAACCCCCCCTAGGATCGATCGGGGATCTCACAGTGTAGCTCTACTGACACCCCCCCACACTGGGAGGCCCAGGACTAAGCACAACGGCACCGGCCTACATGTGCATACACCGGGAATCGAACCTGAGACCGCTCTGATACCATGTCAGAATCCCAACAACTAGACCATTGGGATAAAAGCGCGTGTTTCAGTAGCGGGTCAGTGCGCCCATAACCCCCCAGGCGAACGTGCCTGTAACCCTCTCCAGGATCAATCAGGCATCCACAGTGCAGATCTACTGACACCCCCCCAAAATGGGAGGCCCGGGACTATGCATAGCGACAACGGCCTACATGTGCTTACACCGGGAATCGAACCCGAGACCGCTCTGATACCATGTTAGAATCCCAACAACTAGACCATTGGGATAAAAGGGCTTATTTCAGTAGCGGGTCCGTGCGCCCATAACCCCCCAGGCAAACGCGCCTGTAACCCCCCCTAGGATCGATCGGGGATCTCACAGTGTAGCTCTACTGACACCCCCCCACACTGGGAGGCCCAGGACTAAGCACAACGGCACCGGCCTACATGTGCATACACCGGGAATCGAACCCGAGACCGCTCTGATACCATGTCAGAATCCCAACAACTAGACCATTGGGATAAAAGGGCGTGTTTCAGTAGCGGGTCAGTGCGCCCATAACCCCCCAGGCGAACGTGCCTGTAACCCTCTCCAGGATCAATCGGGCATCCACAGTGCAGATCTACTGACACCCCCCCAAAATGGGAGGCCCGGGACTATGCATAGCGGCACCGGCCTACATGTGCTTACACCGGGAATCGAACCCGAGACCGCTCTGATACCATGTTAGAATCCCAACAACTAGACCATTGGGATAAAAGGGCTTATTTCAGTAGCGGGTCCGTGCGCCCATAACCCCTCAGGCAAACGCGCCTGTAACCCCCCCTAGGATCGATCGGGGATCTCACATTGTAGCTCTACTGACAGGAATGTACCCCTTAGAGTACATGGCTAGTTAGGTCGTTTCGAATTCCCCAGTACTCATATTTATATTACTTGTATTGCACGTTGTTTATCATCTCAAAGCATTTTACATTCACTCTACTATTGAGGTCAAGGGCCCACCAACATCACTTCTCTGCGTGCGAACCTTCCTAAGTAGATCATGGGCCACGATCAACTTCTGATCGCAGCATGGTATGAGAGCAACTCAAGAATCCTTCGCACCGCCATCTTCGAAATCTGCGACATTCGGAAAGTGGCGTCCGGCACACGATCACGTGTAAGAATGGCCGGAGGATCTGGTGTGAGAATACTAGAACAGGAATGAGAATGACTAAGTGAAAGTTGGGTACAAATACAAACCCTAGAGAGCTGTACCCCATATGTGCTACCCCACTATAGCCTACAACAGCTATGTCATATATATCTGACACACCACCATAGGCAAAGTGGGGGAGAACAAGGGGTCACAAGACCAGTCAAGCAAAGTAAAGCAAAACAAGCTCAGGGTGGATCACAAAGTCACCACACAGTCCGAGCACAAGAGCAGGGCCAGAGGCCAGTTCACATGCAGGAGTACAGACATATATATATAAAACTAGACAAGCAAGAGCAGGTATATATATATATCTAAGTACAAGTAAAGTCAAGAGGAGAGCAAGTGAGGCAAGACAGGCACAAGACCCAGCTGGGTGCAGAAGCGCTGATGGTCACAAGGCGCGAGTGCCTTGGTGAACACATCAGCAGTGTTGGCCTCAGAGGCCACGTACGCGAGCCGCAACTGTCCACGCTGCTGTAGCTCACGAGCAAGGAAGTAGCGAAGAGCAATGTGCTTCGTTCTGTGCTCCAGACGCTGCTCTCGACACAAGGCGAGCATGGCCTTGTTGTCTACGTACAGCACTGGAGGAGAACGAGGCGGCTCTCCAAGGTCAGTCAGCAGGTAGGTGAGCCAGCGAAGCTCCTGTGCAGCCATGGCCCCGGCGTAGATCTCAGCCTCACAACTGGAGCTGAGAACCGAAGACGAACGAGTAGCCCGCCACGAGACAGAGCCAGAACCAAGACTGAAGGTGTAACCCTGTGACGACCGCTGCGTAGCCTGGTCGTCAGCCCAAGAAGCGTCAGCGTGGCCTGTAAGGACTACTGGACTCCGCCCTCCAAGCACTAGCCCCATGCCCGACGTACTGCACAGGTAGCGCAATACCCTCTTCGCTGCAGCCATGTGCTCTGGTCGGTGTCTCCCAGGAGCAACATAGCGTGCAAGAATGCTCAGAGGGTATGCAAGGTCAGGTCGTGTGCAGGTCATCAGGTACATGAGGCAGCCAACAAGCTTTGGGTACGGGCCACTCGACTCTACGGACTCATCCGAAGGCAGAGCTGAGAGCGAGTGACGAGTAGACAGAGGAGTGGCCTGAGGCGAGGAGTACGTGAAGCCGAAGCGCTGAAGGACCTGCTGCACCATGTGTGACTGAGTCAAGGTAATGGTGCGGCGTGCTCTGTCCCGAGTGATCTGCAAGCCAAGGTAGCTGCGCAGTTCACCCAACTCTGTGCACGTGTGTCTCTTCAGCAGCTCGGACTTCACGTAGGCGAGTCCAGCAGTGTCAGCTGTGGCAAAGACCAAGTCGTCGACGTACACGAGGATGTAGAACGGCGGCAGTGAAGTGTCGGTGCGCAGAAACAGCGACGGGTCAGCAGTAGAAGGAGCAAACCCAAGAGCCGCAAGCGTAGTCCTCAGTGTGTCGTGCCACTCACGCGGTGCCTGGCGGAGACCGTAGACTGGCCGTTGGAGGCTCCACTGGGTGCCAGAAAAGTCTCAGTGAAGCCAGGTGGACGGCGCAGCCAGATCTCCTCGTGCAGGCTACCCTGCAGGAACGCAGTGCTGAAGTCGAGAGAGTGAAGCTCGTAGTCGCGCTGAGCGGCTATGTGAAGCAGCACCCGAAGAGTGGTCATCTTCGGGGTGGGAGAGAAGGTATGAAAGTAGTCAACTCCCTGCCGCTGACTGAAGCCACGAGCAACGTACCACGCCTTGAAGACAGGTGGAGAGCCCGGCGGCCGCTTCACCCTGAAGATCCACATGCCACTGACGATGTTCGCCCCAGGAGGGGGAACTGCGTCAACGTAGGTGCCTGTTGACTTCCAGGAAGCCTTCTCTGCATCCATAGCTGCCTGCCACTGAGAGGAGTAGGGACCCTCTATCGCCTCCGCGTAAGAGCGCGGAGTCGGGATGTCTAGTGCATCCGGGTCTCCCTCAGGAGCAAGCAGTACAGACGCGAGATGAGGTGAAGCAGCCGCCAGACACTGTAACTCCTCCTGCCTGTCCTCTAGGACGTCCGTG